TTAAAAATTAATTTATTCGTTAAAAAGCATTCTTAAATAGCAGTTGTTGATAATAACTTATAATTGTATGCTCATGATTAATTGACAGAATATTTTATAATAAAGCTAAATAGGTGTTAAATTATAAGTTTTATAAGTGTGTTAATCACTTTGAAATCTAGAACCATCACAGTTCTTAATTTATTACTAAATGAGATTTTGGAAATAAAATATTTAAGTTTTTTTACTGATATTCATGACAGCATATATTTTTAATTTCATATTTATAGATAGTAGAATATCATGTTTGAGTATTTCAGTACTTCGGAGTCCAGATTTTTAGGTATTTAGGTTATCATTAAAATTAGCATATTATTCAATTTTATACGAATAAAAAATGGTGATGTTAAATACAGACAACAAGAAAAAAAAATTGTTGAAGTTTAAGAAATATTTAAATATCTAGTTTTTGTAGTCTATTTTGGAATATTTTATTAATTGTTTGAAAAAATACTTAGATATTTTGCTTTACAATTATCATTGTAATTTTAAGTATGAGACCTACCTTTTCAAATAGTTTTTTTCATAAATAATAAAGTAAAATAATAATTTTTTTTTTTTTTTTGCAATGCAAGTATTGTTATACTTACTATGTATCAATATTACCAAGTATAGTATAATAATTTGTAATTCTATAAAGAAAAAGTAACTTATTTGTTCATATATGCATGTATGTATTTTTATTGGTTATTTTTGCATATTATTCTAATATTTAAGGGAAAATAAGGAGATTATTTATATATTGTTTTAGAGAATTTGGAACTGGTTTGTTATAGCCCCACCATCCATATAACAATAAATACATCGTATAAATATAAAATAATTTATTGATATTAATCTAAAAATTTGATGTTAAGCATATTGATATAATATTTAGAAAATTAAAATTGAAAAATGGAATAATAATACTTTTAAAACAGTGATAAATTAAAAAATATTTGTTAAAAATGATGGTTTCTGTGATTCCCAAAGTTCTGCTATATCTTATAAGATGGTGTTAAACGGATCACTAATGTTTAGTATTAATCGCCACATAAATGTCGCCATGTAAGAGAAAAAATTTCTGTCAGTACCTCTACCTACGTTTTTTGTTACCCCATTAGGCCGGTTAGGTCTGGATGTCGGGACAAACCAGTATCTATATTTTTTAACCTAAAAATCTGGACTAGTCAGTAGTCATATCATATCTTTAAAATGTTTATAGTTTAGGTGAGCGGAGTAATGGACCAACATTTTGAGGGATAGTTCCCATTCCCATAAACATGATTTAAAAATTTGGGGAAGGAATATCAATTAACACATTAACAATTCATTATACTGTCGCAGTTATGTTAGGGTTACCCCGAAATTACCTCTACCGTTGATTATAAATAGTCTATTTATAATCAATGCCTCTACCAAGGTCTAACGTGGGACGGCAGTCCATAGCAATATATTTTGTGAAGGCTAAGCCATCCCTCCAATTTATGCACATGCTACTCCACTCTGCTCATTTTTATTTTTCACTTCATAATAATATAATCTGTAAGATTATAAAAATAAGTTGAGTGGTGATGACGGTGAGTTTTTTTTTATTAAAAATATAAATTCAATCTATACACAATACGCATAAAGTACAATATTTCTAGGCATAGATAGCGCAAGCTAGGAATATCTTGTAAAAAAAATAAAAAAAAAAATAGGTACAATAAGTAATTTTAGTCGAGTACATAACAAGAATTTACAAGATTGAGAGAACACTTAGTAAAATACTTTACCAATTTGTATGCATCAAAGTACAACTAAAAATTATTTAGCACTCAAGTATTATAATATGGACATAGGGGTAGTAGTAGATGGATCTAGGATAAAAAAGACGTGGGTTTATTTTTGTACAAAAACAATATACTCCAAATGTCGTGCTACAATGTACTATTATTTATTTTAAAATGTAATACAAATATACAATTAATATAATTTAAAAGGGTTATAGCTAAAAATAAGCGAAATATTTTGAAAATTAAACTATATAAAGAAAATACCTGAATACGTGTCTTTTTACGCGACACATTTTAATTCCCCCTAATAGTATATTATTATTAGTAGGCTATACTAAATTGCTACACTATATTGTCTGATCATTTTTCACTAATAATTGAACTAATCTTATCGCCGTATCTTAATCTTATTATCTATATATACCTAATTATTGGTGTTTTGGTATTCATATCATGTAGACAATAATTTGGAACATAAATGTCTGGATGGAAATCGAACAATATACTGTGTGATTGTGTCTATAATACATTAATATTATAGAAATATTATTATAGGTTGACAGAAATATAAGAACAATTATGTCTCCAGAGGCAACAAATTTGGTATATTATTTTGATACTACGTATGTCCATGGGTCTTACAGAATTGTTTAATATAATACGAATAATGATATCAGACTTCGAAATATTCCACCAGTCCACCACTGACCACTCTATCCACCATCAATATGGAATGTCCATCAAACTACCCTTGATAATGGCCATCGAACCAACAACCAAATCGAAGTGTGGAACCATCCGTTTTCCAAATTAGTAGGTTACAATCATCATCCTTCTATTTGGATGTTAATTTAAAAAATGAGGTTAGAGTTGTTTTCTGACAATACAAAGTTAGTCCAATTTGCAATAGGCAATTTAAATAACAAAAAAAAAACTTATTAAAACATGCAAGGAAAATATTTAAAATGTATAGGTAGTGATGGCTTAACACACCTGACCATAGATCAGAAAACTATACACCGGACTATAGATGAATATTTGACAGCTATTGCTTACACAACAAGGTTATTTTAATTTTTTTTTTTAAATATTATATTCTTAAATTGTAAAAAAATGTTTGGGTACAAAAATATATCCGGGTCTTTATTATCGGTGGTTTTTTTGCGGGTGGCTTTTTTTATCCGGTTACCGTAGTAGGTACTATTTTATAGTGACTATCTATTGATTATTTACAGTGAGTACTTAGGTAAGGTGAATTGTTTCTCAACCATTTCTAAATATTTTTGGTTACGATTTACCATAAGTTTTTTTTTAAATTATAGTAGATACCTTAGACCAACCAACTATAAAGATGAGAATAGAAATACAGTCGACTCTGGATAATTCGAAGTTGGTGGGACTTATGAAAGTCTTATAACTTATGAATATTATCGAGAGTTTGAATTGCTGAGTGGTTAAAAATATCAAGAGGGAATAAATATAATTCGATTTACTGAGTTAAGAAAAAAAAATTCGTACCTACCTAAAATAATAATTCGATAGTTATCACAAATAATAAGCTAATTTTATACACAATTGTAATGTAAATTAAAGATTATACAAAATTTATTTTTGTTGACGGCTAATGTTCCCTAAAATTTTAGTATGAATTACCTAGTGTACTTAAATGCATGGTTATTATTCGAATTACCTAGAGATTTTTAAGGGAACGACAGAACTAGCAATTACTTCAAATTACTGCAAGTTTCGATCATGGAAGTTTTGAATTATTGAGAGTTGATTGTGGATATGAATTTAATAATAGTACCCAAATTAAAAAAACTGTTTTAAAAAAATAAAAATGATTCCCAGATGTTATTTAAAATCTTAACACCTTTGATATACTGGATTAGTCGTAAAGCTTAATATTTAAAAGTAGGTACCCTAAATCTATAGGTACCGACATTTGTGAAAAATATTAATTGTTGCCGAAATGAGGAAATTACATTTTTTTCAACTCCCGGATTGTTTATGGCTATGATTTAGATAGGTAGAATAATAGCCTGACAGCCAGTATAGGTACGAAAATATAAAATTATTCATGATGCCATAGTCAATAAATAAAGTTTACTGCTAAAATTGTACTTCTAAACAATTTCGGTTGTGAGAGATTTGGAAATCCGGAGGACCCTGCACTCCAAGATATTGACTTGTATATATTATTATACATTAAATTAGGTTACGATATAGGTGTAGTGTAACTAGACTTTAAATTTAGAGGGGCTTCCGCCCTATGCCATTTTAATCTTCAGTGAATAAGGCTCTGCCTTTACATCCTCGCAAGACAGGTTTAAAAAATCGTTAAAAGTGTAAATCAATCAATATTTTATTTTCTTGTTATAGTATGTGTAATCATAAAAAAGTAGAAATGTGGAATGAGTTGGACATTAAATTATTAAAATATATTATTCTAGTGACAAATTCAAGTTTTGAATTTTCTTATGATAAAAGTGAAAATTAAAGAATTGATTTGGGTAACATAATAATAGTACACTATAGTCATTGTACACTTTAATAAGCCTCTACTCGGTATTGGAGTTCTTTTTTAATGTCTTATTTATTTAGAACATTCAATAAATATCTTTTAATAACAATAATAGACTACTAAAAGAATTGATTGTTAAAAATAGTTGGCTTTTTATAAATATTTATTCAACGCATTGTTGAAAATTTTCTTTCACTTTAGTTGCAGAAATCGTTTTCACTGAAAATAATAAATGTAGCATTTTATAATTATTTTGGATGAACAGATATTTGAACTACACTCTTTAGCCAAATTTAAATTTAAACAATTTTTACAAAATATAAAGTATTAATTACTATAATTTTCAAATGACCATAGTCTACATTATCTCTTAAACCTATTATCATGGACGATGGACCTATTATACCTTTAGGTGTATCGTTTGTACTTGCATTGTCAAATGAAATGAAATAACACAAAATGACTCATTCAAATATCACAATATATCACACGTCAACATTTTCAAAAAAGTCATCGACTCATGAGTGACATTAAAAAAAAATATTAATAATTTTTTGACATTATAGTAGATGTTATTGGATTTATTTGAATGTTGTTTGCCGGGAACGCGTAGTTTATCCTCCATGATTACACATCGTTGATTCCTTGGTGGTGGTAATCACACCAAAATATTGCCGACTTATCGTCTGTGCGTCTGTCTCTTTTTTTGCTGTTGTGTCGCCCAAATCAAAGGCTCAGTACTTTTTTTTGAATTAAAAAAGAATCCTTAGCTTTTCTATATTTCTCTTTTTTTTTAGCTTATATTTTTAAGTAGTATAGTTCATTTTGTTATTCGTTCTGTTAACAAAGTAAGTAAAACGTATTTACATTTTACGTGTTCGCTCGTCTAAAGTTACTGGTTAGCTGCACAAAACAACTCACGAGGTTTTTTAGGTTAAATTCTGTTAACAGGATGTCATCAATACTGGCATACTGCTGACTGCAAATCACCACTGAATAATTTTTCAAACGAATTTTTCTGTGTGTAATTTAGATTTCTTTGTGTTTGTAGTTCTATTTTGAATAATGGCTGACATCGAAGATACTCACTTTGATACCGGAGACTCTGGTGCTTCAACCACATACCCCATGCAATGTTCAGCTTTGCGAAAGAATGGTTTCGTTATGTTAAAAGTAATGCTTTACACCGCACAAACTATGTATTATTTACTATTTTCTTATATGTTAATTAATCCATTCGTTAATTATTTTAAATTAAAAAATTTGAACTCAAATTTTTTAATCAAATGTACGTATTAGTAAAATTAATTTTTACCTCATGTAGAATTTACATTGATACTTTCACTTAATCATGTATGCATCTGTTGCTTTTTATTTCAATGATAAATATTTATTTGAGTAAATTTAATATACTTACATGCATATTATATTTATAAGTAATTATTTAAGCATTCAACAATTTTTTGTAATTATTGTTGAACATTTGAAATTTAAACATTTTAATTTTCCTATGACATTATAACATAGTCATTAAAATGTTTTGAAGCTTATATATCTATTATTTGTATTTGTGCATATATGTTTATTAATATGAATTACATTTTTTTAAAGGCTCGCCCGTGCAAAATTGTGGATATGTCCACTTCAAAGACTGGTAAGCACGGACATGCTAAGGTCCATTTAGTTGGCCTAGATATATTTTCTGGTAAGAAATATGAAGATATATGTCCGTCAACTCACAATATGGATGTTCCATTTGTTAAACGTGAAGATTATCAGGTAATTAATTTACCAATGAAATATTAAATTGTTGTATACAAAAGTAAACCCTCCATGATCTTTTTTTCTATATATATATGATAGTTGGATAAAAAACTGGCAGAAAAGTAATCAGAGAAGCCACCTATTGATGGCACTTTCTACTATGTATGTTAATTTATTATTATTTTAGGAGATCATAACAATAATTATACTTTTTGTGTCAACAAGGAATTGATAATAATTTTTAAGGATAAGTTTTAAGTTAGTGAGTTTGAATACAATATTTGAATAAAATGGAATTGTTTAGAAGTGTTAAGCTTTTTCATAGTATCTCTTTGAAATGAGATTGTACCTCGGGTATAGACACTATCCCCATCAGAACCTTTCAACTAGAATGAAAAAATTCCAATGCACACAAGCTTGATGCCGACTAAGATTGCGAACAGAGAGAGTATACAGTTTTTTATTTTAAATTTATGTGTAATGTTAAATTTGTTATGTAGAGAGTGTATTTGTTATTTTCCTATGACAATGTTATGAAAAGATTGCATTTTATACGTCTTTGATTATTTTGCATCCTCCACCCTGTAACTTAGTTTTAATACTTATACTTAAAAATAAATAATCAATTTATACTCATAGCGAGACTTCAGATTATTCATAAATATAAACATCTATAAAGGGACAATTAAAATTTTTTTTTTGATTATGCTAAAATGTGCATCTATGTATAGATATAGTGAAGTTTAATGAGCTTTACCCAAAGTTATATGCTTTAAAATATTTTACAATCATACCTAAAAAGATATATAATTTTTTTATTTAGGTTTTAAATCTAAAATTTGAAGTATTTTACAGTTATTAATTAGAAATATATTAGTATGTTGTAAAGGAACTTAAATTTTGAACAATACATTATAAAATGTACTTATCTGTTTAAATTAGTTGACTGATATATCAGATGATGGCTATTTATGTTTGATGTCTGACAATGGTGATTTGCGTGAAGACTTGAAGATTCCTGAAGCTGAAATTGGTCAACAATTGAAAAATGAATACGATGCCGGAAAAGAGCTTTTGGTAAGGAAACAATAAATATGCATATGATCTATTCTATTTATTATTTACAATTATTAGCAAGTGATTTTCTAAGTATACATATAATAACAATATGCATTCTGTATTTTCAGTGTACTGTATTGAAATCCTGTGGCGAAGAATGTGTGATTGCCATTAAGACAAACACAGCTTTGGACAAATAATGCTCATAAATGACAAAACGTCATACGAGCAAAACATTTCTTTTAATATTTTTTTTTTTTTCTTAGTGGCTAAACAATTTTCAAATTCTCTTTTTAATAATTAAACCCTAGAAAAATGATAATTACTTGTAAACTGTTTTTAATAATGTAATTAAACAATCTATCAGTCTTCAGATTATTTACACTATAATAATTAAAAATATTATGGTATTTATATTAAGAGAAAATAAACATTGTTTTTACTTTTTAAAAAGTTGTTAAAGTATGAACTATGGGTTAAACCAGATTTTGAAATATAAATAACCAAGTCACTAATGTTAATTTATTGAATTCTAATTATGTTTCTTCATATTATTTTCCTTTTTCCCTTTTTTCTTTCCTAATGCAATAACTAAAAGATTTACTTTGTAAAAGTTAATAATCATTTTAAATTTTCCAACCAATAGTCTATACATTAGTACTAAGTATTTAATAACTAATAAGTTCACTTATTAAATATTAATTCAAGTATGTTTCTAAAAATGGATCGTTAATAAATTAAATATTGATAACTTTAATACTGTTCAGTATTTTTCAAAAAAACAACAATATTCATTACTATGAAACATTTTATTATGTATAAATAAAATAGAAATATATTATTTATTTTAATAATTGTTTAAAAGCTGGATTATATTAATAGAATAAAATGTTTTAAATCCAATAAGGCACCACTAATAAAAATTTCTTGAGGTGTTAAATTCATTATTTTTTTTTTAATTGAAAGCGTATTCACAATAAATTAATTTGAATAATATAGGTTTTATAACTGATAACACGTGTAGATTATTTTATGCAATTTAAATACTTTTAATGAGATTTAAGACTTCTGTTTGAAGGTAATTTATTATATAATCTAGCTATGACTTATAAGACAAGCATTTGGTATAATATAATGATACATATATAATTAGATAAGAATAAATTCATAAAAAATTTAACAAGTACTTATTATAATATCAAAATTTGTATATATAATATGTAATATGTACCTAAATTCATTATTTAAATACTCAAATTTTATTTTGCTGAAAGTTTTAAAAAAAATAAATCAATATTTTGTTAGAAAGGACTTGCATTTATATATAGATACGTGGTTACTAATATAATTACAATTTTTCTTGTTAACATAATTACATCAGCTATTATAATTTATATGAAATCTTGTACTTGTTTTACCTTTTTAAACAACTTATATTATAGGAGAAAATTCTTACATATTTTAGCTTAAAAATTGTTATTAAAGAAATTATTATTGGAAGTTTTCTTGTATCTTGTGGTACAAATTTTTTATAAAAACCTAAACGTTTTTAAATAATTATAAATAGAACTTTTTGATTTCTGTTGTATTTTTTTCATTCGTTTTCACAGTTGATTTGCATTAGCACTTAGCAGTATATATGTTCATCTGATCAGTTATCGTATTTATTTGTTCTTAATTATCTATTTGTATGACCAAATAGTTTTAAAAAATGTAATTATTATTGATGCCTACTACAATTTGAACCAATAATGAAGTACATAATACCTTTTATAGGTATTTAGTGACCAAAACTCCTTGTATGTGTGATAATTATTAAAAATAAGTAACAGTTTTGTTGGGGAGAAATGTTTTATTACAACTTTTTAAAATTAAGTACACTTATTTTATTTTTCGTATATATTATATACTTATATGTGGAAATCAGGGGTGGGTCTTATCCCATGGGCGTCCCCAGGCGTGTTTCTGGGGGAGGGAGAGGGCAAAGGTAATTAAAAATGGACATAATGATTAGTAGATAATATGTTTGAAAAAAAATCCAAATGGATTGAAAATTCCAGGGAGGGCAAGGTTCCCGTCTTGCCATCCCATAAGGACGCCCATTGCTTAGCCCCCCCACCCCACCAAAAAAATATAATAAATAGTGAAAACAATTTTTAGTTGTCCCTTGTGTAGGATTTACGAACTCCTTGCTCACATTGATGTTAAAAATGTAAGTATCTCCCTGAAAATTTAATTAATTTCCGACCATGGGTATATATAGTGGCTAATTTGGGTTCTTTTGCACTGTGAGCGTTAGCATTATGTGCAATGCGCCTGGTAGTTGGAAGGTGTAAGGATGACGTAGTATTGTATTATATAAATGATTTTTTTGTTTTCCGTGCTTACTGCTTAGTTATCGCCATGCTTCTAATATTTTTAACGTCGTCCTCCCACTTAATCTGTTAATATTTTATATTACGTGGTACACTGGTACGTCGGCTCCGTCCGGCCGATTGGCGATGACTGCCCTAACGGGACACGAATCACGAAATAATAAATTTAATAATTCCATATCTAAATATATTATAATATGCTGGGTAAAAATATTGTAATAATACTTTTAGTACGATAACCATAATGTCCTGTTTTTCGTACTTCATATTTTTAAACTTGCCTATACAAATTTTTACTTATTTATTACCTACTGGCTACTGGTATAATATGGTATTCATGGTGTTAAAGGCGAGTATATGTAGCCAGTTGTAATTATAATGGTTGTTGGCAGAATGATCGCACGTTCAGCTTATTTCAATGGGACTTAAAGCAATTCACAGGAGCGCAAATAACGAGAAGTCATAATCCATAGGACACTGGATGAAAAACCACAATTTGTGCTTATAGTTAGTTAATACTGACATAATTTGATGTATTACCTAAGTATATAATAAAATATAGCAATTGTTGCCTGTTGGACGTAGTTCATAGTTTAATTATTAAGCCTAAATCGCTTACTTACATATATAGTAAGGACACGTGTTTAAGGTTAAAACAGTGACGTTTTAAACTCATCAAACTCTTGACTGTTTTGGTCGAGAATAATCGAAAGTTTAAAGCTGAGAATACTCTCATCTATGCTCAGTCCAGGAATCTCGGTATTTAGTAGTTATCAAAATGAATTATATAAATTATAATTTAGAAACATAAAACGCTCCCAGCTGAGTGCTTACAGATAAGTCCTAGGTATATGTATACTATTCATTACTGTAGAACAGTTTATAACAATTTAACAGCCATCTAGATTTGTAGAAGTCACTATTACCAACATTTGATGAGTCAGTTGAAATGTTCATATTTTATACTCTTAGGCCGGTTGCATGAAAAATTATTAATTTAACGGCCCAATAAAATTTAATGGACCAATTATGGGCTACTAAATCATGTTTAAAGGATCCTTAGCTCACTATTGATATGTTAAATGTTTAGTGATTGTTAATGCAACTCAGCATTAATCTATAATAACTAGATCCATCTCTAGCTATTGATTTTTAGGTTTAACTTCACACTGCTCCCTAGGATAATTGTGCTTGTTCATCAAGTCAAGTTCTCATTCCCTACTGGAACTTGGAGTCGTATAGTCATACTTTAATAATTTATAGTATAATAATTCACCTCTTGTGGTTTTGGTGGATTTAAGGATTCAGTAATAAGTATACTATATGATTATAATATTTTAATGTGATTGGACCACAAAACATATTATGCCATCTAAGTATTTAATATTCATAAAATATTTAAAACTAGTGATTCTTAAGTTCTAGTTCATATACTTATTAGAAATGAATCGACACAAATACATAAAAATTAAATTAACAACCTAATGATTGTAAATGATAACATTTAATTATATTTTCAGTAATATGGGACACAGTTAAAGATTAATGAATTAATTTTAACTAAGGTACATCGGCTGTTAACAATAATGATATTAAACAGATTAATACAGTTTATTAATTATCATTAAACATGAAGAACAATTTTTTACTTTCTTTAATCAAAGTTAGTTAATTAATAGTTAACACAGGACAAGGAAAATAATGAAAGATAATATTCCTATTATTGTTCTAGTAAATTTGTTTTTTCCATCTATTAAAACTGTAATACACATGTGTTGCTTACAAAATTATTTCATATTTGTGAATACAAACATTATATAAATATAAAGGTGACATTTTTGAAATAAAAAAGTTAAATATATTAAACAATAGAAAAAAAAAAGTGTTAAAAAAAACATATTCAGGCGTCTTTGCCGTTTTCAACTGGCTGTTCAGTTTCCATTGGTTCTGTTTCTTTTTTCTCTTCTTCCTTGGGTGGAGGTGGTTCCACTTTGGGTGCAGGCTTTGGTTTGTATAAAACTTTGCTTACATTCTCTTCTATACTATGTTTCTCTCTAACAAACTCATCTAACTTGATCGGAATGTCTTTATATAAAGGAGATGCAGTTACTTTGACCGACTTTTCTTCCAACCAACTTTTAGCATTATTAAGGGTTTCGGCCAATTTTTCTACTTCAGCACTGTCTAAATGGTTAAACTGCTCACTTCCTTTATGAAATGCATCAATATCTCTCTCAGCTTTTGAAATTAATTGAACAGCTTGATCTTTTACGGATGGGAAAGTTGTGTATTCCACTTTACGTCTCTTGATTGGTTCACCAACCATTTTTAACAAATCCAATTTTTCGGTATAAATATTTTTAATACATTCTTCCCCTTCATCGTACAACCAAGCTTCCAGCTCTTCTAATTGTTGAACAATTTTTTGTCTGTCAGCATCTACAATATAAGGAGCTAAGTCTTCTTCACTAGATACTCGACTTCTCATGTCATAAATGTATTCTTCTAGGCTGTTACGGACATCAATTCTTTCCTTTTCTTGACGATCAGATGCTACCATTTTACCTTCTTGTTCAATATAGTTATTTAAATCCATGGTCGAATAACCGTGAGTCAATGATTCAATACGTAAATCAATGGTCTTTGTTACAGATTTTTTCTTTTCTTCTTTCTTCTCTTCAGGTTCTGTTGGCTGGGGTTCACTTTCATTTGATTCCATCGGTTCAGAAGGTGGAGTTTCTTCAACTAATTCAGCCTTCTCTAAAAGTGTGGCACTACTTATGCTGAATATGCCATGTAAATTAATCCTGGCTTTAACTTTGACTTTTTGGCTTGCCCCGTCTGCTGTTGGTTTGACATCACGAACTGTGAATTGACCAATGTAACTATCTGCATAAGGAATAGGACCGGAATAATGAGCTTTGACAGTAAATGGAGCTAATCTGTAAAATGACAGCATTTTTGAAAATGGAACAGCATGATTTTTAGGGAATACTTCAGCACGGCCATCATCTGAGTTGTCTGATGGATCCCAGAGGAGTTCAATGGGAAAACTTTGAATATCGGTCACACTGAAATCTCTTACTCTTACAGCTGGTGACAGCATTGCACATTGTAAAGCACATCCTCGTGCCACAGCCTCATCTTGATTCAAAGTAGTGCTAGGTGTCTTGCCGAAAATTTTTTCTATTAAGTTCTTAATATAAGGAATACGACTGGAACCGCCAACAATTTCTACAGAATAAATGTCATCTTTACTTAGCTTGGAATCCTTAAGGCACTGATCTAATGTGACCTCAACTCTATTGAATAAATACATGGCTAATTCTTCAAATTCTGCTCTTTTAATATCTGCATGCACATCTTTGTCATCCATGAAACACTCAATGTTCATTGGCAACTTGGTGGAATTAGCTGACATTTGTTTCTTTATTTTTTCAACTTCAGTCAACAATCTCAAAAACGCTCTGGCATTGGTTCTAGGATCAATGTTATAACGGGTCTTGAAGTCTTTGCTGAAGTGCTCAGCTAAAATGAAATCAAATTCTCTACCGCCCAATTGAGAGTCAAACGTACTGGCCAACATCTTCAGTTTGCCTTTGTTGAATGCACAGATGAAAACTTGAAGGGAAGTATAACCACAGTCAACGAATACAACGTTCCGCGGCTTTTCTTCGGGGTTAGGCAGGTCTTGTTTGTAGATACCATAGGACAGTGCTGTGGCGGAGGTCTCGTTGAACATGCGCAGGACATTGAGTCCAGCGATGGACGCCGAGTCGAGCAGTGCCTTGCGCTCGGCGTTTGTGAAATAAGAAGGAACTGAAATAACACAATCATTTACCTTTGTCTTGAGAGTTATCTCGGATATCTCTTTGAGTTTGGTCAGCAACATGCCCGTGATCTGCTCCACGCTAAACGTTTGTTGTTCATTGAGGTAGTTGACGTTGATACCAATCTTGTTGTTGTCACCCTTGACCACACCAAAATTCAGGTGTTTGAGCTCCTGTTTGACGAACGGATCGTCGATGGACCGGCCCAGCAATCGCTTGAAGCCGTGCACCGTGTTCTTCATGTTGGTGACCATTTGATTTTTGGCGGCCACTCCGATGATGCGGTTCCTGGGACTGAAGGCCACGCATGATGGCGTGGCCCGCAGGCTATAATCGTTGGCGATCGTTTCGATGCCACCGGCCCGAGCAACGGCCACATAACACGATTCGTTCCCGAAGTCTATACCTATTACGGACATTGCGGCCATTGACGTGAGGAAACGGTATGGTAAAGAATAATCACGTGGATTTGTTGATCGGTGGGTGTGAGCGTGCCGTGGACGAGAAATAAAAAAATGATCGGCTTTTGTGCGGTAATCGGAACGCGGTCAAAAGATGATTTGATTGATAACCTAGTATAGTATACAGACTTATTGCTTGGCACTGCACACGCGATTCGGAGAGCCGGCAAATGTGAATCGATCGAGGGAATATTCTAGAACGTTCGACTCGTCGGATGACAAACAGTTTTGTGCCGGGTGGAGGGGACGATCGGGCGGCTTAGGGTGATCCGCCGCAGGGAGGCAAACGTCCCGCCAATGGTTAACGAAAAAAAAATTTACGCGACAATTATTTTTTGACAAAATAAAGTAAATCATTTTGTTTCAAAATCGTCGAATTTTAATTGATTTATTTTCAAAAAATTTTAAGTATCTAATTTTGGAGGTATTTAAAAAAAATCCAAAATTGTATTTTCTAGGTTATCAGCGCTTACTCTGTTTAAATGGTTTAATGAATATTGATAATGAGTGTTATCATAACCGCAGACGTATATATATTATATAGGGTTATAAATTAAAATTATATATAATCTATTCTGTGGTATGTAAACAAAAAGTAAATAGACATATTATATTGTATAGTTTATGCAAAATATATGCTTATTCCGTGATCATGGCCTACAATACTTGACAATAGTCACGTATTTGATATTTAATATAATAAAACTTTAATTTGTCGACGATCGGAATTCAGTTACCTATTCAATAATTATAATTATCTTGTGGTGAGGAGAGAAGTCGAAAACAAAAACCAATTCTTTTAGAATCAATTAATTTCTAAAATCATAATTTTTGTTTGATAATAATATTAAATTGTTTAATGCTATAGATTAAAAACTATACACAATGCCTTTGCCTCCAGCTCTGGTTAAAAAGTTGGCCACCCGTGGAATACTCACCGAAAACGAAGGTAAAATGTGTACATCAAATATTATTATTATGTTATATTATAAGCACTATTATTTGAGGGAAGGTTACAAAATCCTTAATCAAAAAATAATATTTAAGTCTAGGTTTTCCTATATGTATAAGTCATTCATAATTCATGTTTTGACATAATGAATATGTTAAATGTGTTTGAAATAAATGTTGAAATATATTATTGTATTATATTACATGCCCAAATATTGTATACAATTGTATATAATAATATGTATGAAGTTATATTTATTATTTATTTTTTATTCTTTATTATTAATATTTTTATCATAACTTTAGCAAAGAATAATACAAAAGAAGTTGAAGAAGAAGTAATTGCGGAATGTTATGATGATATTGATGATACAAATGATAACTCTGGTTCAGATTCACAAGATAGTGATGAAGAAAATGATAAACCAGATCCTAAAATATTGGATAAATTTAAAGTAATTTTTAGTGATTTCATTGTCAAATTCAATTAAATGTTTATAACTAAAGTAGTTATGTCTAATTGTATGCAATAGGGTCATCATGGTTGTCCAAACAAGTCAAATGTATATCATGAGTGCACCAAATTTTGTGAACAGCGGTGGAGAAATGGTATTAAACGACCAAGGAATGGATATTTAAAGTCTAGAAATGCTATGTTAGAAAAGTTTCCTTTACCTAAAAATTGGCATGAAGTGTATGATCCTGGAACGTAAGTAATATTTTATTTACTTGTTGCCCTTAAAACACTTTTAAAACCTATAGATTCCAAAAAATGTAAATAAAAATATTATTAATTCAAGTAGTTAGGTACTTATTTTTTTTTAATATTAATATTCAAACATAGTTCATTACTTCACTATATATTAAAAACTATTATACCTATATAACTATTTTATTTAAATGTTGTGTTGTGAAAACTTATGTCTTATTTAATAATTTAGGACAATGCTGTGTCCTCACTACGCTTAATTTTGAACTTGTACGTTCTAGTTTATACTGATAAATATTAAATAAATATGAATTGTATGATTCGTATTTAGTTCAGTTTTCAGTTTTAATTATTAGTTTATTATGAACTAGTGATTTTGTATTACTTATTAAATAATGTTTTAAAATTTAATATTTTAATTAATTAAAATCAATTATTTGTTGAGATTTTTAAGGATTTTTATTGATAAAAAATGTATTAATTTCAAAAAAATTTATTAGGTATTTTATGTATAAAATTATATAATATAATTATTTTGTCTACATTCAGTGGCAGATTTTATTACTGGGATGTAGTAAATGATTCAGTTTGCTGGTTACCACCTAGCCACCCTCGTTCAATTGTTACTGATTCTGTTGCACAATTTCGATTCGAACGCCATGCTATAATGCAAAATATGGATAAAAAGACTTCAGATTCTGAGGTAATTATTCGAGCATTAATATCTTCATTGCTTTAGTACATTGTTATGTAAAATCAGAAACTATTTCTGAACACATATATGATAAGTTGATGTTAATTTTATATTTTCACAATTATGTACAATGTAAATATAGAATCTCTTATAGATTCAATTCATTTGATTTTCAAATTGAATAAATATTAAATATAGCTGAATTCATAAATAAATAAAAACTTAAAAAAATACTTTTTGTAGCTTTAGGAATTTATCCTTTATTTTGATGTCATTATAGAGTAGTAGTGATGATAGTGAGGATGAACGGCTAAAAATTCAAAGGAAAAAAAATCCTATGCCACCACCTGTTCAAGAAATCCGTGCCAAAGAAGTGAGATATGATCGTGAACCAAAACGTAAAGATCCTCCAAGAAGATTAACAAAAGCCAATGATCTTGACCCAATGGATCCAGCTGCTTATTCAGATATTTCCAGGTAACATTTAGTATCAATCAAGTATTATCAATTATGTACTGTTAATGTGTAAAATATTATGTCATTGCATTATTGAGTGTAGTTTTGGCGAACTAGTATTTATAGGTATTATACTTACCGGATATATATGTTTTATTAACAGTTTATTTACTTATAGGGGTTCTTGGAGTGATGGTCTAACTGTTGAAGCTAAGTCAGGGGTGGACACTACAGCCTCAGGACCACTATTTCAAATGCGACCATACCCCAGTCCAGGCGCAGTTTTGCGAGCTACGTCGGGTCAAACTAAGCGTAAATAAAATAAGAAAAACTGTATATTGTCTTTAATTTTTATATTTTACTTTACATTTTCAAATTCAAATTATAAAATAAGACAAATAAATGCTATAATTAATACATTCAACATACATCACTCATTTATGCTATGCATGCCCCATGAACTTCAAACTCGGCAAGAAATTTTGTTTAAGATTTACTACTTTCTATTTGAAAAATTACACATGGAGTCAAGTCTACAAATGCTGAACAAATTAAGGATACAATTTTTTTATTAATTAGATTTTCAAATTTATGATCATTCATTGTGTGTATTATGAATGTAGGGTGCCACTGCTGATCCTTTTCAATCAACATTTTTATTATTACAAGTCCTTTCTCTAAGTTTTGGTATGAAAAATGGTCTGTTATAGTTTTGTTTGTGACAATAACAAATACGTTAGCTTCTATTGTGCTGTAATGTAAACACTGACCAACTTTAAGATCTACCTGATAGTCTTTATCGTATTGTGACTTGAAACAGTATTTTTCATTGACTGATTGAAAATATTGATCCCAATACACTGGTAAAGTAGTTTTCCGACAATATAGTATTATGTTCAGTTTTTCAAATTCTCGCTTTTCTATATCTTTGATATTTTTATGAACTTTTATAGTGCTTGGATGATCAATTCGAAGAAGTTCTGACTCTTTTGACATATTCTGTAAAAAATTAAAATATGAATAACTTTATTTTATAGAAATGCATGCTATTAAGGATAAATTATGTAAAATTACATGTGTAAAATGACAAACTTTGATTATACATCCTGCGTTTTGAAATATATTTTTAACAATGTTTCTTACTAATGACCAGTCTAATTTATCGAGACCACAACCAATACGTGGAATGGCTAATTGTTTAACACCGTGTTTTACAATGAAATCACGTAATTTTGTAATTGCTGCAGTTATACTGTTATATGTTGGTTTACCGTTGCTACATTCCTTTGTAATTAAATAGTAAATAAATCTATTATTGTGTTGCAAATATGCTACTGAACCAACATTTGGTTTTTGGTCCATCAGTTCACCAACTCTTCCGAAAATCATCCTAAATCATATTTATTTATCAGATAAGTTGAAATATTAACCACAGATGACATTTTATCTTTAAAATTATTGTTCAATAACTTGAAATGTGTGGCGATGCCAGCACTCATACGCATATCTCTGGCGACACAATGCCCAAGAGAATATTTTTCGGGCATATCAAATAAGAATACATTAACTTCTTCAATAATGTTTTGATGGTCGATATCCGATTTGAGTTCCATGGAGATGAATTTCTGTTTTTTTTTTAAAGTTTTTCTTCTGTAACATTGTGTTTAAAATTAATATGATACAGAGTTTACTAAAAGTGTCAGTCTGGCTCATAGTCCTTGAAAACAAAAGCATACATTGTAATAGCATATATTTATTTAAGTTTTGCTCAATGTAAATCAAAATGTCAATCACTGAGTAGTTGCTTGAGCCAGATCATTAGTTCAAGTAAATTTATAAAATATTTTGAAAACAAGATAAAAATTAACGTTTTATGCTAGATTATAACAGCCTTTTAATGATATCAATTTAAGCTTGTATAAAAAAATAAAAATATAAGTTTTGTTAAATACTAAATTTTTTATTGCAATACCTGCATGGCGCAAAACAACTTTTAACAAATGCAGATAAGTCCCCAACATAAAATAAATACATAATAACTGATTATGTATTCAACATTGATAACCATTAATTGGTTTTTTTCAGCAAATTAAATTTATAATAATAGACACATAACATAATACAATTTCTAGGCAGTTGATAAATTAATACTAATTGCAATATTAATGAAATTGTGCAGGACAATAAAAATGTTTGATTAATATACCTCTTAAAAGTTGTTGTTTTAGCAATAAAATACGATCAATTATTGGCAATATCATCTTCATTTAATAACTTCTTACTAACTTTTATAATTAATGATTGATTAAAAAACTGTACACACCTTGGCTATTTCGAAGATCGACGATGATGATGCCAGAAACAATCGCTTCACTGACGGACAAGTAGATTGACGAATAAATAGAAACGATAAATTATTAGACGAAGAGTTAATATCTATTATACACTTATTGACTTACTATGTAAATAGTATTTTAATGTTTAGTAGACAATGGTTGTATGTGATGTTATTAATTTTTACTTCTAATACGATATTATGCAGGTAGCAACCAGTAAGCACAACGCAACGCATGCTGTATTTCACTGTAGGTGCAACGTTTGTTCTTTGATACAAATCGAGTTTAGGCCGATAACCGAATATCAAATTTAAAATCATTAACGGTGTGAAAGTTGTTATCAATGTCACCCTAAAATACCAACAACCATGTCCACCGATAGATTCATGTCATATCGTAAGACCGATAGAAATTGGTTCTGTTGATAACAATTTAGCTAATGTAAAAAAAGTTTTTGAAAAGCCCCACCACGTGAAGAAATGTTCAAAACAATGCATATAATTGTACTGAGTGTTTGAGCTTTTTTAGTGCATACGTTAGTATATGTTTCATTGTTTTTATAGCTCATTAAGTTCTGAGCCCTGCTTGTAAGCATCCTAGTGGGGTATACCTTTTTATATTTTCCATTTAAACAGCAAGGCCTATTATGACTTAACCTTTTTTTTTGTTTTTTAATGGAGAGAATTGCTCCTGCATTAAATTTAACCAGCCAACATCACCAGATCCTTGGGTAAATAAAAAATAAAGTTCTTTGGCCTTCAGGATGGACCACGGATAGATTGTTTACAAATGTCAGTTAATCGTTATATACCTATATAATTATAATATTTTAATAATATCATATTGAAAAGGAGTCTTATATAGGCAACTGAACTTACTGAAATATGTCACTCGTAAAAAGTCGTAATAATTATTAGGACACCGTAACGATTACTCCTCGGTGGCACGGTATATTGGTACCATCACTACGATGGCAACAATAGCTGAATAGATTAAACTAAATTTATTCTGTAGTACCATAAATAAGTCATAAGTATATAGCTTGGTACCAAAAACGGTTTTTCAACATCGTTTATCATTAGACGCACAATAATGGCGGTTGCCAATAAATCAGTTTTAAATATTTTCAACATCTTTTACAAAATGTATAACTGTAACTAACATAACGACGATGTAAGATCTTTTTTACCAGAACAGCTGGAATATATACCACTAGTGCAATACAGATGCAGGATTCAAGGTGCTCCGGCATTGCTGCATCCGCACTAAGGATATCGCCACTATAACCCACATACGTGCCACCTTCCGGGTGTTTTTAACATCGATTCTGGTACGTTTTTCATGATTCGATAGGTGACCATACTATTTTAAACTATATACTATAACTTACTATAATAGTGTCGGAGTTTACCGTTGTCCGTTCTCTCGAAACATAAAAATTATGTTGGTAATATTTATAGTAGTTACTACTTAGTATTAAGGAATGTTAGGTAAATGATAACCGTGGGCGGGCGAGGGTTTATTTGCTATACATATTTCTACAATTTTTAAATATAAAGTACGATAGCTCGTCGCCAACGGAGGGTGGATAGAACTGTATACACCGCATTTTAACCCTATAAATTTCCCACGGTAGGTAACAAAATAATATGAAAATACATTTTTTTTTAGCGTATTAAAATAAAATAACGGCCAATATGTTAAGATATAACCATGGATCTATCTTCATTTCCGTGCTTTGCACTATTTTGGTACGGTTTTATTAATTCAATAAATCCAATTTTTTTAGATTTCCAGAAATGTGTGAATGGTTTTGTAATTAAAGACATACAATTTGCTTATAGAAGCTATACACAATTAAGTAGCTCATAATAAGACCAAAAAATTATAGAATTACACTAACTCTTTTCAGAAATTTAGATGAAAGCTAATTTGTAGTAGTTTCCTGTATGGATGTCAAAAATCTTTGATTGTTGATATATTGCGTACCCAATATTGATACCAAGTTACATATATGTAAAATGTAAATATAAGTACATAATATACCTATATCAACTTTTGATGCAGTCAGCGAGGAGTATGGTACAATGTGAAAATGTAAACATTAATTAATATATATTACATAACAAATAATTTATGTATGTAAATAATGTCTCTTGATTTCTCGTATTGAAATATCGAACAAATTCAATATCAAGTCAATAAATTGATTATAATTGTTTGATATATTGACTTAGTCTACAAATATTACCGATATATTGTTTCCATCCCTATGTACGGCTTTATTAAATAAGCAACTCAAGAATAACATATTATTAATGACAATTGTATAGTAAAGCTGTCTATAAATATATAATAGTGCAAAAGGATACTTAGAGAAATTTGGAAGCGGACATAGGTTAAACAAACCAAACATTAAAGTATAAAAATAAATTGATATCTATTCAAATATTATTTATTGATATGATACATTGGTAATAGTAAGTGTTGTTGTTTATTTATTTCACTGGCTTAAAATTCCAAATGATCCAAGTTTAGGTTTCGCATGTAACTATAGTTACACCTAAGTTATGCTAAAACACATTGGTTGGAATTACCTTACCAGGATAACCGTGGAAAACATTTTAAGATGAAGTATTGAATAATGGAAAAAAAAAATTCAAACATACAATTAAAATAATTGATTTATTTAACCATCACTTTCTGAAGTACAACAAATAGCTAGGAAACCTGCAAAATAAAAATTAATTTTATATCAATGATAAGTATTTACTATTTAATACAAAGCATTGTAGATTACACATAATGAAAATCATTAAAACTTAATACATTAATCCTGACATGTTATTAAAAATGTCTGTTGCTCAGTAATATATATTTTCTTAGGTCTTTACAGTATAAGATTTTAAGTCCCATTTGGTAAAAAAATATGTTATAATTACCAGTTATTGATTTTATTATAATGTTCACATTTGCCTAATATTGTAAATATATTTGAATACAGACAATCTGAAATGTTTATTTTATTTCCCACACCCTTAGGAAGGTTTATGTCATTGATTAAATAACAACCCGCTGGAGCCTGCATAATTTGCCATAAAGGTTAACGCACTACAGTTCAATATTTATCTACTTCAAAAAGTATTTAACAAATGCATTTCCGATCTGACAATAAAATTTATAATTGAGAAAACCTCAGCAATTAGTACAGACTAATTAAAAATGTGTATATTATACAATATCTTAGTCAGTGTACACTTTGACCTTATACAATATATATTTAAGTTGACTATCTCAAATCCAATGAAAATGAAATATTTTTAGCACACTTTTAGGAAGGTTTAAGTTATTAATCAATAACCTGCTAGCGCATAAATTACAGTTTAGTTTTTAAATTAGTCAAACTTACAAATTAATATCTTAATTGAATAGTCCGAAGCCCATATCATCATCAGATTCATTATCGGATTCTTCTTTCTTTTCCTCTTTTTTGGTAGCTATGAGAATAAAATTAAAAAGCGGTAATTATAGTAATGTATGACAAAATGGTCAATAAAAAATAAACTAACCTTTTTCTTCAGAAGCTGCTGGTGCTGCAGCTCCAGCAGGCGCTGCTACAGCGGCACCAGTTGGCACGCTGGCCAATTTAGACCTGCCTATAAAAAGAAATTTAATAATTAATGCACATGATATATTTTTTTTAAATTGGAACAAATTTTTTAAGGGGAAATTAGTTACTGAAGATAATTTCTAATCAGATGAAAAGCCTTTAAAAAATATGCCACCACTAATAATCTTATAAAAAATAACAGGGAAACGGCTTAAAAGAATTCAAATTCTAATTCAATAAAACAGAATGCATAGTATTATATTTACAATAAATAGGTATTGTATAGAAATTAACAATAACTTCATAAAACCAAAATCAACTAATGTTGTCTTATACTAGTATAAAACTGGATGAGTAATAAAGTAGAACTAAATCAAAACTATCTTCTATCTAGATATGTTATACCATGGTTAAATAATTAAGTATAATCATATTGAGAAGCATTTTAGTTATTGGCTGAGCATATACTATTATGCAATATAATGACAATATATTATACTATATTGCATGATTAGCATAAAAAGGAATCTCAGCTAGCAGTGATTTTAAGATTTATTTAGCCACAGAATTAATTATTTTGTATTGTTTTCTTAACTAATAGCTCAAAGTGATAAAACGTACTGCCAGTCGCGGCCTTTCCACTTGCGTATCACAAAGTTGCAATCATATCTAGTTATTACATCTTAGCCATGTGTTATACAACATAACAATTTGGAACTAACTAATTAATGAACTTTCAAAGTGTCAATACTTAATTTATTTTCAGTTGGCACATTTATTTATCAACATTCTGTAATATTTACCACTTTCAATAACTTCATCAACATTCTTGCCCTTCAGTTCTTTGATAATGAGATTAACTTTAGAAGAATCAGATTCAATACCGACAGAACTTAGGATTTTTTCGATTTCATCATTGGATGGTTCTTTTCCGCTGAAGGAAGCTAACAGGTATGCAGCCACGTAACGCATTCTAAAATATAATAAACAATAAATAATAACTGAGAACAATATTTGCATTTACATTATATTTTTTTATTTGCTTTCAGATAATATTAATCATCAATCTAGTTTCAGCCGAAAGATGGTATTAAAATTATTCATCATTAGCAAAAATCAAATCCATTTCTTATTTTATTGGAATAAAATAACAAAAATGAAACTAATAATTTAAATTGCAGTCAGGAAATAGTACTCATCAATTGTTATCAGCCGAAAGATGGTATTAAAATTAATCATCATTAGCAATGTCATATTCAACTCAAGTTAAATGAGGAGCATATTACATACTTATTATTTTTTTAATAATATTATAATATAAGTATTATATATTTTTAATGTATAGATTGGCTTGAAGGCTTGTTGCTATAAACCATTGTCTCCGGACATCCGTTTAATTATACTTTTAATTATACCTATTTCTGATCAGTACTATTATTATTTCAATACTAATTTTCCCTCTGAAGTAATTGTTGTTGGTGCCCCCATAAATAGGTATCAGGCCGAAGATTACTGAATAATGAAAATGTATTATACAGACAATATAAAAAATAAATTATTAATTATTAATAAGATAGCAACAAAAATATGTTATATTATATAATATAATTTTAAATTTTTGTATAGAATTGAGGAAAATTTGAAAAATCTGCAGTGGGGCTCTTTTTTAACTATGATTAAATCAATTAATTAATTTCAGTAAACACAATAGCATCAGGTTTCAGACCCGAAAGATGGTATTAAAATATTGTGAATCATCATGAAAAATAATAACAATTTGATTAAAATATAATCGGTACATAGGTGTAAGAATTGATTTCAGGTAACACATTAGCATCAGGTTTCAGACCCGAAAGATGGTATTAAAATATTGTGAATCATCATGAAAAATATTAACAATTTAATTAAAATATAATTGGTATATAGGTGTAAGAATTGATTTCAGTTAACACAATAGCATCAGGTTTCAGACCCGAAAGATGGTATTAAAATATTGTGAATCATCATAAAAAATATTAACAATTTGATTTAACTATAGTCGGTACATAGGTATAACAATTGATTTCAGTTAACACATTAGCATCAGGTTTCAGACCCGAAAGATGGTATTAAAATATTGTGAATCATCATGTAAATTTAAATAAAATAAAATACTACTATTAGAATAAAAATCAACATCATAATTCAGACCCGAAAGATGGCTCGTAAAAATAATCCTTTCATATAATAGTTTCAAAACATAACATTATTATTTGCAGTACCTTATTAATTAAGTACTTATTTTATCCAGAAATCACATTTTTTGTTTTATAAATAGTGTCATCAGAATATAAATTTTATCATCATAAAATTTCAGTCGAAAGATGGTGATATTATATCATCACAGACATAGGTATTTATATCTAATTAAGGTTTGAATGAAAACAACAATACATATATGTACATAATCTATGTTATGATTGAATAGATTGAGTTTTCTTTCCCATAAGTAAGGGAGTATATAATATTTAAGATTAATACACAATTTATTTATGTTGAAAAATATAACACAGAAAAAGGTGCCTTCCAAAACACAACTACGACATCTACAATTAAAATCTAGGTAATTTGTTTTTAGGTGTTTTCACAACAAAACGCAAAAGGAAAATTACGAAATAACATTGCAATCAAAATCTAATCCCGTAACAATTAACGAATAACATTACACAATTTTAATGGCCATGTACTAGTCATGTTGATGTATTGCACTGACCGCCAATTATTAGCACAATTCAGAAATTCGATAATTCAAACCGGTGTTAAATTACCCCTCACTGGGATAAAGCACCATGTCAATGACATGGTGCAAACATCTTGGAGCGATTTTTTTACACAGGATTTACGATCCTACATGCTACGGCCAAAATGGTGAAACATAATATAAGTAGAAAAATAATTATCTTGAGACACTTAAGATTCACAACAATCAGATTTTCAGATTTATATGCTGTTTTACTTAAAACTACAGACCCAAAACGCATTTTATCAAGACTTACCGACATAACCCGACAAGGATGTAATCATTCACACGTGGTATTCGGGTTCGACGCATCGACAGATTTCAGAAGCGTTTGGGTGAGACGGAAAGTCCGGAACGACAACGGGTGATTTAAAAAACATTAAAACGTAATGGTTATAAAAAAACATACTTACTTAAGTCTGTTGGACACGAAACGTGAACTAGCCGTTGGCGAAAGGTGAAGAACAAGTTATCGGAGCGTGGACACTACGAAATATTTTTAAGTAAAGCTAGTCAGTAGTCGTAAACTCGGAGAATAGAATGCGAAGACCAGTGAAACTGTTCCAGTGTAGCCAAACAGTAGAATTTATAAAACGGTACCAACTTAAATTAAGTATGATACTAATTTTTTTCGAAGCCGAAATGAACGAGCGTCTTAGGAGCAAAATTGAGCGACTAATCAAAATAAATATTATTATTGTTGTAGCTTAAAAACACGAACTACTACATAGTACTTGTAGTACTAGTAGTTAGTGCTTAAAAAGTGTCCAAGTAATATTTTAAAAACATTGATAATAAAGATATGGATAGGCCACGAATATGTTAAATACATTTGAGGCCGCGTTCACAGAGGACATGAACTAAGATATATATCTTAGTTCATGACAGAGGAGAAGTAATTGAGGCTCTCTTATCACATTATCAAAAAAAAAAAAACCGCCAATATGATTATATATTTAAAATTTTCAACATTTAAAATTAATGATGATATTATATTATGTATTAAAAGTATTGCAATTCATATTAGATAAAATTATTATTCATCTTTTATGTTATAATTCTTCCTTATAATATACTCTATTTGCTTTACTTATATTTATTACTATATACCTTATTTTACCAATCATAAAATATTAATAAATAATAAATTAAAATGGTGCTTAGGTGTTGTGTATGCGGAAGTAATGCTAAAAATAATCATAATTTGTCATTTCATTCGTAAGTAACTTTAAAACTAAACAGTTTATATGTAATGTAGGTACTGCATGTATTAGTTCATATTCAATTATCAAACATAACATATTAACTTCAGGATATATAAATTTAATTGTTTAGTAATATATTATTATCTTAAGGTTTCCTAAAGACAAAAAAAAGAAGGCTAAATGGATAGAATCATTATGTCTAAATGAAGTGAAAACCTGGCATAGGGTATGTTCACTACATTTTATCAAAAATGACTACAGGGTCTGTAATGAAGATTCACCATACAACTGTTTGACGTCTGGGGCAATACCACAAAAGTATGATGTTGTTTCAGTTGGATTTGTAGAGCTACAGTATGAAGATAATCCTTATTTTATAGTTGTACTTTCTAGTTAATTTATGTAATTCTTTCAATTTTAGAGATTCAAATGTGGAGACACCTCTATTATCTGTATCTTACAGTGAACCTACTGAATCATCAGCTGCGACACCAAAGTGTAAAAAGTAAGTATAATAATAAACAGATAACTGTATAATATTAATAAATAATAATTTCATACTCAAGTCATCTACACTATAACGTTAAAAATATTTAATAATTTGTAATTTGAAGGTAGATATTATAAATAATGCATACAGTTAATAAAACTGGAGAAGTTCAAATAGTTTAAAATTCTTCAAAAACTATTATTTTAAATTGTGATGTTATATAGTATCTTATATTTGTAGTATTATTATTATTGTAGTAATTATAATATGTATTTATTAATAATTTACTAAAACAAAGGAAAATAATAAACATATTTTGTTGTTTATGTGTACATAGCTTACTTAATAAATAAAGAATAAACAAATTATTTTTCCGTTATTTTTTTCCACAAACGTCATATATCATTAAACACCGTATCTTAAGAGTTAAGGTATTCACACATTACCTACCTATTACCTTACAATTATAGACTAAATTAGGTTTTCCATACTACTATTAAGCGGATAACTCAACAAAATTAATTTCATGCATAAGTACATGGCTACTGCTTACTCATGCGCAACAATTGCAATCAAATAGTTTTGAAAGTCTAATCGAATTTGTAGCTCATTTAATTGTTAGATATTTAAAGTAATAATCAGTTTCAAAAAAGTTATGAGAGTAAATGGCTGTTTAGGTATTAGAGATACACATTACTCATGTTATTAGTCCATACCATTTTTGAGTTTGAATGGTTAAAGCACTTAGATCTTAGAATTAATTAAAAATTAACATTTAATTTTCTAATTTTTTAAAAAATTTTTTGACTTTTAATCAACTAAATGTGGTTACAGGAACGGAAAAATCCGAATTTTGTAATCTTTAAGAGTTTGTGGTGAATAGGAAAATTATAAAAATGTAACTCAATAATAATTAATAGGCGTATCGCGTATTTTTCAGTTAGCTATATTATAATTTATAAGATATTAATAAAATAGATCTGATACCATGACCAAACGGTATTGTGATTTATACACAGACATACAGTATTACAGTAAATGTCTTCATTAAATTGTGAGGGCTAGAAAGTTTTGCGTAATCAAATTCTCTTGCTAATGGAGCGTCCCAAATACCCTCCTGTCTCCACGTCGCTTGATTTTTCATTTTTTTTTTCTGAATGGAGAAAGTGGGGGGATTGTATTTAAAGGTTACGGGTTTTTAGAGTGTAATTTAAATAATTTAACTATTTTGTATCAAATGAACCTAAGAGTGATCTTTTATTTACAATTTCATTAATTTATATGTAATTTCAGTTATAATTAATTATGCTACTACTACTATATTTAATTTGATTAATTATAAATATTGATTGTACATTTTTTTCTTCTTTTAAACACAACTATATGTGTAGGACGTGTAGGTATTGTCGTATTCATTGACCTATTATAATTTATTTATTTATATTATAATTATTTATAATAGGTCAATGGTCGTATTGATCTAAAAATTTCGTTTAGAGAAAGCGAAAACTGCACAACGGCGAATCCGGGTAATATTCAGCCAGTTATATATATCAAAATACATCTCATTTTTATTAGTATATTTACACACACATTTTTAAGTTAGTTTATACCCGGGATATTGGTATTAAGACTAGGTATGACATACTATGATATTAAATATGTATGTACGGAATGAGTGATATATGTGTTATGATGTGAAATGGGAGTGGTGAGGAGTGGGATTTTATTTTAATGATGATGTGAGTGAAATAATTAGAAAAAGATTAAGGATTGATTTTAATTTGCCGAGAAATTTGGTGATGATGTGTTGTAGAGGTTGCTCATGTAGTGGTGTGTTCGCTGTTCGCTGTGATTTCGGCGTATGACAATTTTTCTATATATTGGGTTAGCAGATGTTGGAAATAGATGATTGATTTGGTTCGTTTTTCTATCTTTAGGTTTTGTGCGGCATACAATTTTGCTTTCTCTATAGTTGGCTGTCTTTTGCTGGTTTCTCCCATTTTTAGTGCATTTGTCAGTGAGATGTTCTAGTCTGCATTTCACACAATTCGGAGTGCTGTAACAATAGTTTCGTGTATTTCCGAATTTCTGATAGCTGTAGCATTGAGGAGAACCAATGCCTCTTTGGTTATTTGAATTTAATAATTGTGTTCAATATCTTAGCGGTTTGGAATATCTCTTGATTGTTAGGCTGATGTTAAGGATTCAAAATACTGATTACTTTGTGCCCAAGGTTACTTAAGCAATTAGCGATGCTTAAGGGTAGGAGTGGAGTAGTGGATATTAAGTAGTACCTATAATACGGAAAGTTTGAGAGGAACGGGGGAGATTAGAATGAAATTCGTGATTGGCGCTTCCAGATACGATTTAATGACCATGAAGTTGGCTAGTGTATTTACTATAAGGTTTGATCAATTCGGTAGCTTTGCATGTGAAACCCTCTGGGCTCTTATTTGTTGAGTGTAACTAAATCATTTAATAATATAATGTAATAATGTATAATAAATAATAATACACTTTTGCACTAAACATTGATTGTTATCAAGGCTCACAATAAATAGTTATATACAATAGTGCAAATTGAGTTAAAGGTGAAATAATTTCTTACTATAGTAAAATTAGTAATTATCAAAAAAATATCAAAAAAAATATCATACATGACTGTATTACTCATTGACTATTATTTTTTATTTTATTTTTTTAATTCTTCTAATTTGTATTAATAAATTTCAATTTTCAAAGGGAAAGTTTTTGAGTAATTAAGTCCAAGTTTTGTTTGTAATTTCCAATCTACATTTCTTTTAATAAAGGAATTTGACTTTTAAACTGCATAAAATGTGTACAATATGGGTATTGGGTTATTTAATACGAAATTGTATTATACTAGGTATGACTTAATAATTGACAATTAATTGTAGAACCTATTATACAAAGTTTATTTTACAAAAAAAAAATATCATTTGAAGTAAATAACTTCAAAACGTAATTTGTCCGGCCTTTTTTTTACATTCTTATAAAGCACCATATAACACACATTTAAAAAAAAAAAAACGATAGGTTGCTAAACTATAATTGTGTCAATTCATTCAATGTTAAACAATTATTACTTAAAAAACTAATTAAATTTTTGGAAATATTTTTTCTTAATACTGTATAATGCTATACCCTATCAAAATATCATACAACACCGCAGCGGTAATTTCCCCTCGGAGGCTCGGAATACATTGCATATTTGAATATTTGTATGGTACTTGTCACAATGTTAATCCAAAAGTCTAACACTATTAAAAGTTAGAAGTAAAGTGAAAACATAGTTAAGAAATATGTGTAAAACTGTGAAAGTTGTGAATAAAACAACTAGATTTGGTAATGATCACATTATTCAACTATTTAGGAATGACAAAAAATTTTTTATGAAATATACATGTACACACAAGTATGAATGGGAAATTGTACAGGCTACTAATGTCATGACCATTGTTAAAAATAATGCATATATTTTCCAAAAAACATTAATAACATGAATTATACTTATATACTTATAGTTAATATACTACGCGGGTCAAAACTCAAAATACGAACCAATGCGGCCGCAGCGCAGCCGGTGGCCGATTATCGTACAATTTACCACATGACTTTCATTCGTAAGAGTTTGGTCTTCTTCCATTCTACAATGATTCAATAATTCATGATTGAAATATTCAGTGGCGTAGCCAGGGGGAGGCTGAGGGGGCTACAGCCCCCCCGAAATGTTAATAAAATTTAAAAATTATTTTAATGGTCTATGGTATTCGATCAAAAACTAAACCACCGCTGTGTAAACAATTGATCAGCCCCCCCCCCCCGAAAAAAAATCCTGGCCACGCCACTGGAAATATTCAATTACCATGGTAAAATGTAATTATGTAAATACCTTCGAAGTATATAAGCAATAGTTTATAGTAAACACTCATGGTAAGTACTATAAATTTGCTTTTTTAATAATAAAAAAAAACAAAACATTTTTTAGTCCATGGCAATTACCAAAATCTGTCATTTTGTACCACAGATAATGATAAAATTCTGTGGTTATATTATTCTTATGTTATTACATGTGCACCGTACACGCGGTAAATTTGATAATACATGATAAGAGTTTAGACTGTTTAAAGAGTACTATAATTATTTTATTGCAGTGCTCTGATACTCTGATGGAGTTGCAGTTACTTATTCTATCCATTACTAAATAAACTTTTGAAAATAAAACAAATCAATTATTAAACCATGAAACAATTAACTGATGACCGAATGAAAGTATTTTTCGAAAAATTGTCAAAATAGTAAGTTATTTTATGTACATACATACATAGGTTGAGACTGTACAATTTCAACATTTTTATCAATAAACGTGCTAAAAAAATGCAAATTATTAGTAGATATATCATACATTCATTAAGTGGGTATTTCAGTATTTAAAAATATTATGGACTACCTTTAGTGTGCTTGGTAGTTGGAGTAATACAGTATTGTACTTCTGAAGTTTTTATTTCTGTGGTATTTTAATATTATCTTTGTTATTAACCTAATCTTATGTGAAATATTAACTTTTAGAATGTTGAAATATAAATAAGCAACAATTAATTTGAAATTTGTATGTATTTTTATTTTAGCATTGGCTCAAATATAAAGTTATTAATTGATCGTTCAGATGGAAAATACTGTTTTCGTGAGAAGAAAGATCGAGTTTATTATGTATCTGAAAAAGTATTAAATATGGGATCCATGATGAATCCTGATAACATAATTAGTATAGGTACATGTTTTGGAAAATTTACCAAGTCTGGAAAATTTAGAATACATATAACATCTTTAGATTATTTAGCTCCATATGCCCAGGTAAAAAATTAATCTGTATTTTCACTTTTGTTTACTTTTTATATGAATTGCTTTTATTATACCTTCTTGTTCTTTTAGCATAAAATGTGGATAAAACCTGCCGCTGAACAGCAATTTCTGTATGGTCATAATGTTTTGAAATCTGGTCTTGGGCGAATTACAGAAAGTACTACTCAATACCAAGGAGTTATAGTATTCTCAATGAGTGATGTTCCTTTGGTAAATATAGTTATAATCAATATTATTTCAGGCTGTTTATTTATTTATCTGTATACTTGTATGCATATTTATTATTCAGGTTATGCTTTAAAAACTTTCATTGTGATTTTGGACAAAATAAGTCATGATTAATTTATTAATTTGCTTCTTTTGTAGATAATATTCTTAACTTTACAATTCACTCTAATATTAATAATAAGGAAGTGAAACGTTTTCTTCTGAATATTACATTTTCCATGTTATGCAATAGTATTATGGAAACAACACTTGCAGGTTACAAGTCCTCTTAAACTTAACATGCCTAAAATAAATAACAAATAGAAAGTTTGAACTGAACATATAGCTTTTAAACCATTATTTAATAAAATAGTACAAATATTTAAAAAAAAAATCTTAAATATTGTGTAGTAATTTGTCAATATTACCATGTACATAAAAAGTCGATAGTATGTCAATGACAGAATAATAATGTTAAAAATATATTATCCTCCATGTTCACAAAATTCTTAATCCCGACCCTTCTTCTTCCATCAAGTTATTCAAATACTTAATACTATATTAGTATCTAATCTGTATCATAAAATTTAAAAACTATTGTATTTAGCCAAGAGTATTGGTTTGTAACAATAAAAAGAAAATTTCATATTTAAATATTCAAATTCTTTAAAAATATGAATTTTGTATCCTTATTTTATATCTGTTTGATATAAGGAGTTATGATCACGTGGCGTTTGCAATAATCATTTGTTAATTTTTTAATGCCATAAATATAATAGTATATTTATTCAATATTTTATTTTATTTTAGGGTTTTGGCGTTGCAGCAAAAAATACTACTGAATGCAAGCATACAGATCCACTATCTGTAGTTTGTTTCAATCAAGCCGATATTGGTGAATTTATTCGATGCGAAGATGATTTAATATAATATTTTTACTTGTATTATTATTATTTAAAATATTTTTAATAAACAACTCATTGACATTTTAAATTGAAGTACGATTATTTTTAGATTTTAAACTGTGATAAATGTATTGATTTTACAATGTTTTTTTTTGTCTGTCATCGTCACTTGTAATTTAAAAATTAAAAATATTATTGGGTAGGTTGAAACTTTTGAAGAGTATTAATATATTTCTTGGACATAATGATACTTTCAAATGCGATGTTTTTGGATAAAATCAATTTTCTATTAAATATACTCCATTACCCTATTTGGCCCACCCCACAAGTTTTTTTAAAATTTAAAATTTATATATTTTTATAAGAATCCAATCCAATATTATTCATAGTTGTAAAATAAAAGAAAAAACTGATACGTTGGAGTATTTATTTCTATGAACAATGTGTTACTAATTTGTCAGTCATTGAGTCTTTGCCATTATCTGCTGTATAATCCCATAAAAAAAACCTATGCAGAACAAATGACAGTGGTGACAGCTCATATTAGCATTATCCGTTCCCCTCCACTACCATGGCCTCGACAAATGCTATGCAAACTTTACCAACTAATTACAAAATATAAACTTAAAGTTAAATCTGTTATGTAACAAATATTTTGTCTTTATTACTTAAAATTAACTCTACAAACAATGGTATACACATTCTCTTAAATATTTAAAAAACCTCAATTATTCAATTATAAATGTGTATTTTTTGAACTGTATAACGGTCAGTCGATCAGCTTCTATAGTCTGGCCACCGAGAGAGAGCTTCTGGGTGCTAAAACTCGTCTGATCTGGTGAATTCCCATCAATTAACCTGCCGGCTAGAGGTAGAGTTAGAGAAATTTGGGTACGAAACGACAGAGCTCAATCATTTGTACGCCCCCAGAGACTTTCTCCAACTTTCTCAGTGGACGGAGTGTAATAGTGTAAAGCACTTGTATTTGTAGCCAGCGTTAGAAAAAATTAAGGAGGGGATGCAAAATTATAAAAAATTGAATACCAAAAGATTTAAACAATTTTTAATTAGGATATAATTAGTAGATATATTAGTAGTTAATATTTTTAAAAGAGTAGAGGGACTCCTTCAGCAAATCAAGCATCGTTTGTATCATCGTGATAGGTAAAGACAGCTTGTAATTGCCAGTTGGACCGTAATTGGTTTGTTAAATTGTTTATTCCCTACCACCTAACTTAACATTATCATTAATCAGTAATCATTAAGGATTCATTAAAACATTCTAGCCTCTAGGTCAGGGGTCGCTAACCAGTGAATCTTATTAAAAATCTTAAAGTTAAAGACTTAAACACACTTTACATCAAAGTAAAGTACTTACTAGCCAAGAAAAAAGTACAATTCTCCAAATTTTGAAGGCGAAATAACAATGAAAGAATATTATTGTACAATTTAGCATTATGCTGCATGTAACATGTAATAATATATATTAATTACTTAAACAATTAGCAGTTGATCACTTCTGAAAACTTTTAATGTGGCTCACTTGTTGGAAAAAGTTAACGATCTTTGAGCCTTGGCATGTCCTATAGCATGTACCCCTCACTTAATACTATCTCATATGTTTAAACTTCAGCGTACAAGTGTTGAGTAAGCAGCTGAGTTTGCAGGTAACAGAATAAAGCCAGATGAAACAGAGTATAAGAATGTAGTTGTATGTTGAACAAAACTGCTTACATACAAAACACTATTAAAACCACTATGGACCTATGGCCTTCAGGCAATGCGAAAAAAAACAAATATCTTGAAAATCCAAATCTTTCAAAATATTGAGCTTATAAAACTAATGAATGCACCACCCTACGTGTCAAATCATATACTACACACCGACCTAAAACTTACCACTATAAACGATGAAGCTAAAATATTTTATAAAAGATTTCATTACTGTCTAAATTATCACCCAAATCAATTAATAAAAAACTTGGGCACTCACTCAATATCTGGAAGTCCTCCGAGACGTCTGAAGCATAAGTAGTGTCAAGATCTCTTAAATTAAATTAAATTTAAAAAAAAATATACATATAAATAAATAAATAAATAATTATCAAGCTAGCACAAAATGCTATCAATGGGTGGCTTCTTTCAACAAAACTTCATGATATGTGACCTTCATCACATTTTCTTATTGTGTCTAGTGTGGATACAGATTGTTAATTACTTTTGAAAATAATAATAAAAAAAAAACTTTATTTAAATAGACCAATATCATTTTACAATATAAATTCTGAAAGATGTTGTTCATATTTAAAGTTTAATATGCAAAACTAAAAATAATATTGTTTATTTATATTTTGATTTACAATTTTTGTCATCAATCAAAACATTTAACTTAAGATTTATATCATAGACACATGGATTAGTAATTTAAGGTTCTGAAAATAATTGTGTAGTGCTGCTTTCTCTACATGAATTTCCTCTCAAATCTTCTCTAATTTTCCATTGCAGATAGAATAGAAAAATGTTATTTTTCTATGCTTAAAATATTAATTTAGGTACTATATATTTATCTATTCTACATTTTTAATTAAATTTTGTGTTTTTTCATTTAGAATTGATAAATTTAAATGTTTTCATTGTAATATCTGATTTACTAAGCTCAATTAATTTAATTTGATAACATATTTAGTGTTTTCAGTATATGTATAGATAACCCAGGTGTATACAATTTGAAATGTGTAATAATGTGATTCGATTATAGAATGTACAACATTAGTCAGACCAAAACAGGCCAGACAATTAATTTATTCATTTTTTAATATGCGATATAAAATACAATATTTCATCTGGATTTTTAAAAACCTATTATGTATAATTTGCATTTAAATGTACGTTATAAACATGTTTTTAGTACCTACAATAAAATTAACAATTTCTAATTTAATTATACAAATGTGTATAACTAGTTTAATCCCTCGGACTCTTGGCGATCCATAGATTCTTTGATAACTCTGTGATGGTTAGCAGAGATAGGTCTATAGTAAAATGATTTGTAGTCTGATCGATCTTTCATCATTTCATTAATTTTGTTGGCTAACATTCTGAAAAATAATATAAATAATAATAAATAAAAAAGGGACTAAAAATAAAAGTGATTTTTATTATCTTTTATAGCATTATTTAATGTTAAAGAAGTGAGTTAAAAATATGGTAGTTTTACAAATCAGCAAATTGCTCTTCTAGTAAATAAATATCTTCAAGACGAGGCACCTTTTATATTTGTTATTAATGTTTCAGAATTATTAGAATTGTATATGTAATTAAAAATTACACTATATAATTGTGAATCAACACTTATTTATTTTTTGATTCCCTGTATTTTAATACATTTCAATAACTATGAGAACATTTTTACCTGACTTTAAATTTTTCGTCTTCTTCATATAATGTATGTAGATACTTTTCATATTGCTGTTGTGGACTGGGATAAATATAACGAGCCATCCATCTGGTGATTGGATGCTAAAAGAATAAATTTGGATTAGATATTTTTATATTAAACTAAACTACATTATTTTTTATCGATTTATAAAAAAAAAAACTAATTTGTTAACTACTTCAAATAATTGAATAACTGCAAGTTCATTAACTACAGTCATAAATTAAAAGAAACTTTAAGAGAAATAATCTATCAATCTAATTTCTTTATTGAAATATGATTTCAAGGTCCGCCACAAACTGCAGTGGTATATTGTCTTTATGGTGCCGCCCTGGCGGTGGCAAATTGTGTACAGCTACATTATTATAAGTCTGAGACCAGATTTATATGCATTAAAAAGGTGCTAATTATGCATGCAATAAATAACAAAATATTTAACAATATAGACAAAATCTTAAAAAAAAATATGTAGTTTACTATACATACAAAATATATACCCTATAAATAAAACAAGACAAGTAAACCTGTAGACCAGGGGTCAGCAATTAATTTTTGTGTCCGACCAAATAATTTGAGAAAAAAATTTTGGGGGCCAAAAAAAACTCAAATATTAGTTTTATTTAATTTTATTTAGCTAATATTAGTAATATATAATATTCTAATAACCAAATATATCATAAAAATAGATCAAATATCTATATTATATAATGCGCGGAATTTTGGAAGTACAGTTATTTTCTCGGCTTGGGTCAAATTGGCCTATTACTGACCTCTGCCATAGTTTGATAAACTAGTTAACAGCACTTAGACAGAAACAAGAGGAGAGAGAGAGAAAGAACTGTGTTTGAAAATACACCTAGAAACTGATACAAGTGCGTTCCGTGCGTTGCAGTGTTTTCTCAATCACTTTATTACTCTCCCATGAATGTGCTAAAGTAGTGTGGTTAGTTTATAGCTAATATTAACCAGGTAGCTGCCATGAAATTTTTTTTTTCTTTGATGACATTAAAAGAACTAAAAATTTTGTTTTCCTAAATTATGAAATATTATTTTTGATAATTAAACATTTATCCGTGATAGTTTCAAATTAATTGATGATTGTCATATTAGTAGTTCTTGTCTTAGAGAGAAAACCATTAATTTATCAATTAAGAATGAATGAAATATGCAAATTAAATGCTCTACTAACAAAATATGCATCAATATACAAAATGAAATTTGGCCTATTAAGTTAGTTTGACTTCTAATACCTACATTTCAAACCCTCATAGTCGCACATACGCTCAGTATGATTATGCAAATGTATATCTTTGTCTCTATATTATAACTCAATGTGATCTTCAAATTCCAATACTTAAAATTATTAGGAACACATACAAATTACAAAGTGCTATAAGTTTGCACTATAAGTTATGAAGCAATATTCAAATTTTATTTTATTATTATTAGGTGCCTATTGAGTGACACAAATGCCCAGGTGAACAAAAAATGTTGTGGTCGGTTTGTCTGTACGACTGTACCTATAAAGTGAATCTTAGTAGCTTATAAAGGTTATATAATTAATTATTATACTGTAAATGTAACATTGTACTGGCTTATTTAAACAATTTATAACAATTAATGATGGTTGGTTGGTGTCGACTGGTAAATTTCTAGGCTTTCCCTTATAGAAATAAAATATTTCGAGCCACAGTACCTATCATTCATAACAATGTACACAGTTGTAAATTTATAATATAGATGTTAAGTAAACAATTTTATGTTTTCTTTAGATATTTATAAGTTGTACGTATGAATAATATGAATCAGTAATGAAATTCATTGACATAAATAATCAACTAACCTGATGGTATTCCCAATGTGCAGGTCTGTAGCCTTCAGGAATTGGAGCCAATTTAGCTGGTCCAATAAAAACATTAACACCAGTGATAAGTAGAGTCAAAGGAATAACGCCAACCAAAACATAATAGTGAATTAAATCCTTGAATTTTGTCCATTGCCAGCGAGTCTCCTTAACACCCATTAAATGATGACCACTCATGTTACGAGTTGGTACAAGAGCTAAAATTCCAGACAAAAATTTTATTTTATTATTTGAATTTAAATTCTTTTAGTATAGGATACAAACATTTTGAATTTAAAAGAGAGAAAAAATAGTAGAATGGTTATAACATAACTTCTTTCTTTTTTAAAGAAATATACAATGTGTATCTGAAGGGCACAATAAGAATATGTGCTTCTTAAAAAAAAATAATGCAGAATGAAGAGTTAGTTAAAGAGGTAACATAATATACCAGGTGATGTTATCTTATTTTTGCATGTAAAAGTAGATCTAACCATAATAAATTACAGTAAAATTATTACAAAAAAGTTGAATTTTATGAACGTCAAACACAAAATGGTAACAAATCTTTAGTCAACGAAATACCTATAATATAGTAGAATAATTTTATGATTCAAAAAATAAGTTAAATTCTCACCAGATGATTTTAGCACATCGGTTTTCTTCAAACTCGGACATTTGCTGATCACCGATCCCAGTTTCAATGAACTCCAAACAGCCATTTTATCGGCGTTAGTTAAACCAATTATACGCAATAACGAACAGAATACTGGTTAAAGTGTACAGTGGTGAAACAGTTCTTGCATGCTACTTCGGATATTTTTGGGACATAAAATGTCATAGACACAGCACACAGGTTACAGATTTCAGAACGAAAATTTTAGTGATAAGAGGGACGAGTTGACTAGTCGACCACAGATATATAAAAATATTTTTATATATCTGTGTAGTCGACCGACCGACCGCTGATTACCAGAATAGATATCAAATAATTTAATAATGTGCCCTTCAGATGGGGTGACCAATGTTGCGTAAAATAATCCCGAAACGAAGACAGCGTGCCGTTTTTTTTCTGGGACATGGTTACACTGTGGCCCAAACGGAACGCGTGAACAAAAAATCAATAGGTAAGCCGTTTGGTATGGTATAATATACAAAAAAAAAGTGTGCGTAGTCCAGTGACAATGTAAATTAATGATGCACGATGTACTACAGTGCAGCAGCTGCCGAGTACCGACGCGACGCGGTGACGCTGATGAGTTGTGTTCGACGTTCGATTACCACTTCCACAGTTACACCACCGTTACCGTATTATAGTGTCTAACTGCTGTACGGCTTGCAGTGCTCGACGCTCGTACCACCAGTCACCGCTCACCGTCGTTGCCGTTCACGAATTATTATTGTTCGGTCGGCGAGTGGCGAAACGTTATCTGCGTATTCCGATGGTCGAGTTGTTTTAAATTAATACGTTTTACAATCTTCAATCTCGCGGACGGCGATTAGTATGTCGATACGTCCTCTAGATCTGTCGCATTATCTGACATAAGCATATCATACGTTACTATATTCCGGTTGCCTACGTATCTACTTATAGTCCACGTAGTATAAATTAATTAATCATTGCGTATCGGAAGCGTCGAACGGAAACGAAAAAAATGTACCAGTGAGCCTGCCGAATCAACTGTCAATACTTAAACTGCCGCTGCCGTCCGACTGCTGAGTAACGACGACACCCAGCCTGAATAGAAACTTTGTCAATATCGAGAACTGTGAGTAGTACCTAACTGAAAGTTAAAGACAAAAATATTGTTACCATTAATTTTATTATCACTATCATCATGAATAACATTAATAGTTATTGGTCTCAAATTCATCATTTTTACACAATTTTGACAAAAAGGCTATTAGCAGATAACCAGTGCGAACTATCACGTCTGCATTGGCGATGTTGTATTTTGAGTTCATATTCTAGAATCCTAAATGAAACTCCAATTCAGTATTTACAATCTCTTGTATTCACCATTTGGGCTCAAACTTTTATTAAAAAATAGGACCCAAATGCTTAGATATAAAATATACGCCGTGTCTATATGCCAATATAAATACTCTAGGTATATAGGCTTTTAGATAAAAAATGTATTTTTTTTTTAATATGATTCTATTTTAGTTTTTTACTTCTTTATTTTACTATTCATTTCAAGAAAATAATGTTGTTTGGCGGTGTTGTTTGAATGGCACACTAATGACTATTTTTTTTTATTCGTGAGTTGTTGCAAATTTACTTACCTCCTGCTGTCTGGATACCCATTATTAAAGATGGATCTCCCACAGTTACTTTATTATATACTCCTTGTCCTCAGGCTATAATGTCTTATACAATTCTTTATGTCTATTACATGGCTTCATTGATTTAAAAATATTAGATAATATATCATATTATAAAATCTATATAAAACAGTACATATTATAAAACATACAAAATAATTATACAATTCAAATGTTTGAAGTTTGTTTCATACAGTTTTTGAACAGTTGCTATTATTTAAATAATAAATTGGGTAAATCCAATTCTCATTATATAGCTTGTTACATAGGTGGGAGTTCTCAATCAGTTTAAAACGATAATATTTACATTGAAAATACTTTTTTTGTGATAAACTCCTTATGCTATTGATTAACATTGACTATAATCCATAAATCTACACTCAAAATATTTTTTATTTCCAACTTAAGAAATTAAGTGTATTTTTTGAGGTGTAGGTAATTTATTAATTTTTTTTTTGTTTTATATTGCATTAATAATTATGGGAGAACTATTTGTATAGATACCAGTTTGCTAGGTACTATGTCTATGATCAATAGATTTTCATTGATTTTCTAGGAATAGGTGACTTTAATTTACTGTTGTTTTTTGTATAGTTTATCTTCCTAGGTATTCTTTAAATTTAAATTAGATGAGTTGGTATAAACCGAGATATAAATGACATGGTACTTACCATCTATATTGTGTAATACTAATGCAATTAGTCACTAATTAAGATAGCTAAATAAAAAACCTTTAGCTGTTTTTATATTTAGGCTTAAATCCCCCAAAAATAACCATGTAACAAAAATTATGTGCCCCAAACACTTTTATTCACTAGATTTCAATGTCAATCAATGCATGATTTAGTCAATTTTTTTAATCTATTATATGTCAGTAGTTATTATAAATCTGTTCTATATGATTGACAAATGGTCTCCACTGTAAATTAAAATTGTAGCTGGTATGTATATAAAATGAGTTATCATTGAATCTAAATTTAACAAAAAAAATAGAAAATTCCCTTTATATTTCATAATGTTTTTTCAATAGTTATTTTGTTGTAATTTAAAAGTACCATACTGGGCCTTGTGGGAACCTATAAATTTATACATGTATTATACATTTTACTATATGTAATGACATAAAAATATTTTGATTAATTTTAAGGTATACCTATTACCTTCTATTAACTATTCATACAATCAACCATTCTAACTGTTCTACAAGAAAGTAGTATTAGTTCAAAAGCTAATAAAAATTCAATAATGATTGAAATATTGTTCTTAAAGTTAATATTTTCATTGTCTATCATTGAATTCAAATTTAACACATTCATTACACTTTTTTTATTAAAGTTTCTTAGTTTAATTAGTATAACTAGACAATTACAAGAAAAATTAACTTTCATTAGGTACACTTAGGTAATTATTTTTTTTGATTTTGCACAATTTGATATGGAGATATTCTTTCATGCCACTTATAAGCATATGATATAATACTCCTAATATTTACTAAGTATTTTAGATCAGAAAAAAAAGGTTTCATATAATTAGGATATAAATGCTAATATCTTGCATTTAAATCTATAAACTTATTCAGTAATATTATTAAATATTATTACCTAATTGGTGCCTTGATTTTATGTTGACCAAATTAGGTAGGTATGTACCTATCTATTTATTTTTATCAATATTTAAGGCATTTGATATGTTATACATATTGATATTAGAAAAATAAATATTCTTAATATTTTGTTCAACGCTTATGTTTTTAATGACTTGTGTTTAATTTTCAATTAATTTCATCTTGTAGTATTCCCATATAATAGGTACATATTAGTGATTTTGTACTATAAAATCTTTGAGTATTTACTTTAAGAAATTTAATTAGATAACTACTTAAAATCTACCTACCTATAGATAGTTATCAAACACATCTATTATAATTTCTTATAATTCATTGATATTATTATTGTATTTTTTTTAATAGGTACACTAATTGAGTTTTATTACATATTTGTAAGAAATTAAATTATGCCTTGGTATAATTTTAAATACTAAATGTATACTTATAGTTTATTGACTATAAAATCATTTAAATTTCAGATTATTATTATTAGGTAATTTTACTAGGAAGTTATTTTTTATAAAGATACTTGAACTACTAGTAATTATAACTTAATTAACTATGAATAGGTTAACAAAATACTTATGAAATTTGAATATTTTCTCCTTATCTTCCTAATTACCCTAATATACGTTATTTTTGGTTAATATTAGGCACCTTTACAAATTAGTGAAATTAATTTAATAAAATTCTTTTACTAGATATTTATTGATTTTGTATTTTTTTATTATATTACTGTATTAGCACTAATTATAAATAATTTACTAGTAATACTAGTATTTATAGTTAATGGTACTAGTTATAGTTCTGTATTTAACTAACCAGTAATCATTTCTTAATTAACTTTAGAAAAACCTATTTAAACATTCTTAATTATAATCTTTTTAGATAGATCAGAAAAGAACCTATAGTATTATATTACATTTCATGATGCTTGGATGTATAATTTATAAATACTGCTAATAGCCTTGATGTCAATGTATTGTATAACATATATAAGTAGATAAAAATATCTGTGGTTATTTTGAATAGAATCAAAATTGTTAGCTTAAGATCAAACAACTTAAACAATTTTCTCTCATATAGATTTTATTATTTAAGTTTTTAATACACAAAACAGCTGTAAATATACCTATATTTGAATCCAAGTATAATATTTTTGCCATTTCCCTTATCTTGGTACTTCATAATTTTTTATACCTAATATTATTTAGTTATTTGAAGTTGTACGTAGTTATACTTATTTTTATATTTTAAAACCCTGTTGTTGCCCATGCATTATATAACCAAATGTCTAAATACTTCTTAATGACAAGAAGTCAGGAAAACTTAAAAAAAAATAAAGGAATTAAATCTGACACATATGTAAAACTAGAAATATATACAGTTCAACTAGAAAAAACCAGATAAACGGAATGTTCCCAAAATTATTTTCATGAAGTGTGCAATAGTTTCTTTGAACTTAATATTACAATTTGAAATTGCTAATAAAATAACCTATCTATATTTTAGATTTTAGAAAAAGCAAGACATGTACAGTTATTATTTTTTTCAATATGTTAATACTACTTAAGGTAGAATTAGTATTTTTTAAAGTTTTATTTACCTTTAACATTGATTGGAAATTTATTGTAATAGATACCTTTATGTTTAATGTGAAAAAGTACCACAAAGTTTTGAAATTTAAAGCTTTTTTGACTAAACAGTTATTTGAACAATTTTTTCATAAATTATTATATAAGGTTGTGTTTGTATAACCAAATTGTTTTATAATAATAACTAAAATATCTCAAATACGTTTATACAAATATTGATGTACAATAGGTACCTTTACTAGTTTCTTATGTTATATTTCAGACTACAAATATCTACTTAAATTTAATAACTATTTTTTTGTTATAGTTGTTAGGTATTTAATTAACAAATATGGCTTGATTTTATCAATTATGGTACTAAAAGATTAGATCGCCACATGACTTGATTATAAGAATTTGATTACCTGGGTTAGTTGTTCATAATTTTTTTTGTTTATTCTTAATATTTCTTATAATTACTATTTTTCTTAACTTTTTTGAATTAAATTAATGTGTACCTAGTTAATATAGCAAACAACTATAGTATCTATTTAAAACTAACATTTGTAGAACTCTGTTTTTGAAAGTTGGTAATTTAATAAAATAAAATATAACTTGGGATGATATTTCATAGAAATTAGAGGTTGATTAGTTTTATAATATGTGAAGAAAAGACAAGCTGGTTATATTACTATCAAAATTTAAACTAATCAAAATATATTTTAAAAAAAAAATAATACCTAGGTATAAAATATTTTGTTATATTATTATTAGTTATTTAATATAATAGTTTATATAATTACAACAACTTCAAATAATAAATAAATGTACCCCGAAATGTACTAAGAATATTTTTTAAAATATTTTCACTTCCCATCTATACTCTGTCTAGTGAGAAAATGTACCATGGACCGACCAAAATCGGTTTTTCTGCGCATCCCCTCTTGACACCTTGCCATATAGAAACATGTTTCGGCAGCAAGGTGAAGCACGGTAATGTATAGAATTAGTGCTTTCTCTCACAGGACAGAGTTTAAACTCTACTCATTTTTACAATAATTATGGGACAAAAACTTTTCTACTATATAATAGGTACTGGCCAAATAATTATATAAGAAAAAATATGATAACTTTACTTATAAACTTAATGGTAATAAGGTAAAATTAGTTAATATATTTAGTAGTTGTTTGATATTTAGCTTGATTAACCTAATGTTATGATTTTATATAATCATAAATGTAGAACTATATTGATAAAATAATTTTAAGTCCTAATAATACATGTTTGGGAATTTATATGGTATTGGAATTTATTTGTTAGGCATATATAAAGACACAGAAATGGATGAAGGAATGGATCCGACATTTGCAATGAGACTGAGGGCGCAGCTGTCCAGGAGTCCTGACTACGTTGTTTTGAAAAACCGTCAAAAACAAGTAACAGCAGAATCGAAGTCACAATCTGTAGAGAAAGAAAATACACTATTGGGTTTTAAAAGACTTGAAGAAATGGAGGTTGATGACGATCCAAATCAATTAAAATCTTTTAAAAAATTTAAAACTGATCAACCATGTACATCTGTTCAAACTTATGATCAGTTTAATGGTTTTCGAGCTGATCGGTTTATACCTTACCGGGAGGCACATAACCTTGCAGCAAGGTTTAATATTATATCAGATATTAGATACGGTTTAGATTATGGTAAGAAAGATTTTCAAAGTGAAGCTGCTAACAAAGATAATGCATACAAAGCCATTCTCCACAATGAACTGCTTGGATCTAGTGTTGGTGAAATAAGTATACAAGATAAAAACCGTGATCGTTTAGCTACCAAACGAAACTTGTTCCAATACTATTCCTCCAGTCCTGAACAAGTTGATAATATTCAATCACGGGTTCCTTATTCTCTATCTCCTCTTGGCTCTAAAAGTCAAGAAATTTTACGGTCGCCACGTAAAATACCTCGCAAAATTTCTAGAGTGCCTTATAAAGTCCTTGATGCCCCTGAACTGCAAGATGACTTTTATTTAAATTTAGTTGATTGGTCATCTTCAAATTTACTTGCTGTTGGGCTAGGAAGTTGTGTATATTTATGGTCAGCAACTACAAGTAAAGTCACAAGAATTAGTGATTTGTCATCTGATGGTAATGTTGTTACTTCGGTTGCTTGGAATGACAAAGGCAATTATTTAGCCTTTGGTACTCAAGAAGGATCTGTTGAAGTATGGGATATTGCTGCAGAAAAGCAAGTCAACAGTTTAACTGGACATGCAGGCAGAGTCGGTGCTATCGCATGGAATGGTGATGTTGTGTCTTCGGGAAGTCGAGATCGTAACATATTTTTAAGAGATATGAGAGGTCCAAGTTTATCTACATGTAGGCGATATGCAGGTCATCGGCAAGAGGTATGTGGACTAAAGTGGTCTCCAGATAACAGATACCTAGCATCTGGAGGAAATGATAATAGACTTTATGTATGGAATACACATGCATACACTCCACAATTGACATATCACCAACATACTGCTGCAGTAAAAGCAATTGCATGGTCACCCCATCAAAGAGGTCTATTGACTAGCGGGGGAGGTACCGCTGACAAATGTATACGTTTTTGGAACACGCTAACTGGACAACCAATGCAGTGTATCGACACAGGATCACAAGTGTGTAATCTTGCTTGGTCAAGGAATACTCAAGAGTTGGTTAGTACACACGGATATTCTCAAAATCAAATTGTTGTTTGGAAATATCCTTCGATGAGTCAAATTGCCAAACTCACAGGCCATACATTCAGGGTATTGTATTTGTCCATGTCTCCTGATGGAGAGTCCATAGTAACAGGAGCTGGAGATGAGACATTAAGATTTTGGAATATATTTTCAAAAGCACGTTCACATAAAGAACCCAAGTCGAAACTAAACCTTTTTACAAACATTCGATAAGTGATGTGTATTATTACAATTGATCCATATAATTTAATCATGTCTTGATCTCTCTTTCTTATATATTTTATATTTTGTTTGCCTTTTAGCCATTTTTCAGTTTGTTGCCCATTGAACAAACTTAACTATTTTTATTTTTTTTAATTGTAAACAATTAAATTTTGTTTTGATTTTGATTTCGCTTTTTTTCAATACTTTCTTTTTTTATTAAACAATTTTGTGAAATATATTTCTGTAATTTTTTTATTTTGAAGTGTTAGTTTATCACTTATAAGTGATAACTTTTTAATAGATAATTAAATTCAGTAGGTAATACTAAGACCCATAGGAATAATTTTAAAAAAATGTGATAAATTGTCATTGTATAGTTGAGAGTTGTTAGTTATTTTTAATACCATTGAAAGTTATAAAAATATTTTAATTTATATTATTTTTGAATAATTCTGGTGATCTATTTTTTTTTTTTTAATTTCTGATTATACATTTTAATTTTGATTATTTTACAGTTTTATAGAAATAATCATAATCATAATGTACTAAAATTGTTGCATTACTTTACTATATTGTTCACTATATTATTATAAAAACAATGTTTAAAAAAAATCCTTGATTAGTTGTATAGAAATTTAAATAATTCGTCAATTTTGAAATGTTAAAAATTAGTATACTTAGGTACTTAGTTATTAAAGAAATGTATGTTAGTAATAACAAACATCTGCTTCCTAACTAACCTTGCCTAACTATCTCAATCCTATCTAACTTATTTTATGTCATTGACATTTAAAAAAGACCAGTATTTAAAAAAAACTTTATTCAAATTGTCTATTGTTATCATTTTAATTTATAAGTGTTAATCATTTATATAGTTTAAAGAATTAAATGCAACATAATGTAGAGTTAATTTTATTTATTTGTATTTGGCATAAAATAATAGCTATCTAGGTAGTTCATAAAATTGGATTACATTTTAATATATTTACCAAACATCCCCTTTTTTTAGTTTTTATTATTTTTACAGTGAACCTACCTAAATAACTAATATCTTATTTTATTATTATGTGTAAAATGAAGTTAAAAAAATGTGTTCATATCTCATATTTTCTTTGTAAATTAATAGGTACACAATGGTACTTTAAAGCCATATTTTGATACACTTGTAAATAATGTTAAGATAAATGAATAAAATATTGTTATTTTATTATTATACATACCAATTGATCTAACAATTAAGTGAAGCACAATGTTAGATTGGTTGATGTATAATTGTTTATTATTGTGCACAAATGTTATCAAGTATTTATTTTGTAAAGTGTATACATTTATTATTTTGGGTGATTAAATAAAATTTTAACTAAATGTTTATTTTTTTATTTATTATGTGCCTAATATTTAATTATTGCACTTGTTCATTTTATTTTGGTCTTGATAATTTTTGAGTAGATATGAAATGTTCATGTTTTTACTCAAATTTTATCATTAAATAAATCTGGTTTTTAGAATAATTTTGTTAGTTAACAACGTGAATGCTGCACCAATTAGTTGGTAAATTTGTTATTAAACTTAAATTTAATACTTTTTTATGTAGAATTAAATTTAAACCATCTTTATTATTATATGAGATAAATAATATTTTCTAGTGTACATATGTGCGTTTTACAACTCAAACACACTGCGCCTTGTCTCTTTCAACAGTCGATGACTCCATTACTTCATCTTCCTTTCTGTAGTAATGGTATACTCAACAATATAAAATAATCAGGATACATATTGTTTTAAAATAATAGATTGTTATGGAGGCTGGGAATAATTATGACTAATATTATTAACATACTTTTTTTTTAAATAAACTTTAAATATATTCAAATCATTAGTTTTAGAATAATTATATGTAAGGTTTTGAGTAACTGGATATAATTTAATTAATGTGGTATGAAAAAATAAAAAATAAATTTTTTAATAAATGTGCATGTTATAACAATGCTATTTAATGAGCTGTGATAAATTCCATTATATGTAGATATACTATTCGTATTATATACGAGTATACTATACAGTTTATGTGAAAAGTAATTTTTTTCTTTTTTTTTCTTAAGATTAATTAAGCTCAACATTTATTTTGTTAAGTTAATGAAAGCTTAATACATTTTATTACTGCATTTTTAATAATAAAATAAATCTTCCATGAGAACTACTGTATATAACATGTTTCATATACTTAATTCCTAGTAACAGTAGCTTCTTAAAGTGTAATTTATTATATAATTGGGTAAATTATATTTTTATCGAATCTATATTAGGTTCTAAAACTTCGAAACAGCCACTGCAGAATAGCTTTGAAAAAAACTTAGTTTTGACTACACAAACTCTTGTTTAGTGATTAGATTAAATAATTAAATACATTACAATATTTACTCTTACTACATACTTATATTTACATTTGTCTAACAGTTTCTTTCTTCTACTATTATTTGTTTTGCACAATGGTGAAAGTGGAGGGGGTCGGGTGGAGTCCCCCTTCTTTTTTAAGGCAAGATTATGCGTTCTTTTAAATTTAAGTCTCTGGGGAAGGGGTGACGCCTATCAAGAAATTTACTAACTTTATATTCAATGTAAATTAGTTCTTATTTGTCTTTTTAATGAAATTAATAACAAAAACAAATTAAAATTTAAGTACATTTTTTTAACATTTCAGGCTGTGAGTTGTAATTTATTTTTACTGAGCAGGCATAGTACCTATGTGTAGGTAGAATCATTTTTCATAGTAGGACAATTATTTTTACATCCTATTACATAAACTTTTTAAGAACAAATAGGTACATGAAATAAAAAAATGATGGACGTTTAGACCACGAGGGCTTCTTAAAACAGTTAGGTTAGATATAGACTGGTAAGAACTCGGGAACGCTTCTAAATTGTTTCCTCTTAAACCATTGGGTATTTCCCTTATGTTTTATGACGAATAAATGTATAATACTTCCTATGCCAACACCACAATTGATTTGCGCGCTCACTATGACCTTTTAAAAATCATACAAACGTGGAAGCCACCACCTATTCAATAATAATGTATAGTCAATATTATGTTTTCTAGAACCTCAGAGTCGTTATCATAGGAAATCGACGTCGGTTTGATCCAAAGATTGATTAAAAACACATTGGTACAATGGTACATTCTACACGTCGTATTACACATAATAATATGTTGTATACATGGAGTTATACCATAATCTATTTTTATACATTATGAACATAAGTGGGTTAGTTAGTTTACATCTCGTCTAACACGTCACTCGTGTGATCTTACAGTGTGTTTAGACTTGGGACTCTTTTATCTTTGGAGTGACTTTTAATCGTGAATGGTGAATCGAGATGTACACTGCTGACCGCTGCCTTCCTCGTTTCAATAACTGCCTTGTATACTAACGTCTAACACTGACCTGTCTAAAGTACAATTTACAAACAAATTGCTACCGGTAACATGCTTTAAGGATTGATCGTAGGATAGGATCACTTCTTCTATCATAAAAAACACTTAATGCTAAAGTTAAAATAACAAAACTAAAATTGTTAGAATAAAAAGCTCACGGGTATGATCGCCTCTATATTATCCCTGGTTGGCCGGCTACCCTCGAGGCTTCAAATACACTACCTACCTACCCACAGAAACAGAACCTACAAAGGTTGACCTTGACATGTATTTATAGAGTGATCATAGTATGACGTACATTAAGATAAGTACCTATTTATACATTGTGATATTACAATTATACAATTATACAATCCATTATCCAGTGCGGCTGTTCGTATACTTGTACTTGTAATACTTGGGTGGATACATTTTACACGTATTTTTTACTTTTTGTACAGTGTACTTATAGGTTAGGTACCTATTAAGACGTGTAGTGTCGAGCCGTCGACCGCCGTCCGGGTACATTAAGCAGTAAGCACCAAGTCATTTATCGTTTATTCGTATCTACTACCTAATGTATGTTATAAAAAATAAAATATATCGTCGAGATAAATATCGACTTTATACTAAATACTAATGAGTAATGGCGTGTTGAGTGTCGTTCGAAAATATAGTATTTTGAATTCGTTGATCGTAATATTATAGTCGTTTTCGTACAGGTTTAATATTATGATGACATTGCGATTAATTAGCAATGCGAGTAGGTACCTACGCATGTAATATTATTGTCTTTGGAACGCGCGCAATCACGACCGATCATAATTAGTATATTATATACTATCTGCCATCTACTGTAAGGTTATCGAACTCGATCATTATTACTTGTTAGTAAAGTGTATAGTACCTAATGTATGTACGACACCAAGAAAAACCGTCGGAAGAAAATTTTGTTTTCGTGTGTGTACCTACAACCTACTTCACTAGTACCTGTCTTCTGACAAAAGTAATAACATACATCTAATATCTGTTGATCGCTGAAATATATAATATTATCCTAATCACGTGCAACAGGTAGGTAACAACATTATTATTAAAAATATACCTGCAGCGTGTTATCGGATTCGTAGTTTATAAACGCAAAACGAGTACACCACTAGGAACCACCAATACTGGGAAATCTCCTATTTATGATATAAATAATAATTCTTAACATACCTTGTTTGGAAATTAGAATAATAAATGTATTATTTTTGATTCTAGCGTTTTATGTAAATAACTATTTGATTTATTAGACGTCTTAACACTAACCGCTACAATCGAGCTATAAATACTTAGTACACGCTCATTCGCATGTAAAATGTCAAAGTTATTTTAATTAAATTGAAAGATCCATAAAACGTTGTGCAGATTAATATATTATGTATTTGCATATTATTTATGCAAGTAGGTATTATAACATAGGTACTTATAAGTTATAACCATCATCGATTATTTCCACCGCGTACGACTAGGATAATGACACATGCACAGGTCATGCCGTCATGGGTGTATAATGTATGTAAAATTATTCGGTCAAATAATTGCAGTATAACTTAGGTACCAATACGGCAATATTGCAATATAATGTATATATCTACCTAAAACTAACCATCATATAGCTCGTTATTATTATAGTCATTGAGTCCACGCAATTATCGTAGGTAATATTCTTATAAGCGATGAACATTAACTAATAATTAACATTTAACAATTCGTGCGAGCCGTTCGCGCACGATTTAAAAAAAATCAGCCAAATACCTACCTACCTAATACCATTTTTTTCGAAAAACGTCGGTACAATTATTCTCGTGGAAATGCCTAATGTGCAATTACTGCGGTATACGGGTATTCGAGTGTTGCTCAGTTGCCGAATCATGCAATTAATCTCT